TGTGTATGGATTGGGATAACAGTTGTATGAGCCCCTAATAAAATGTTAAAAAAGAAAAATGTCACTTATTTGTCATCAGAAATAAATATTTCACTATAGAATTACATATTGTTTTGTGATGAATCACTATGCTTTCATTATGTTCAATTTGTAACAATGAAAAGACATCCTGCAGACCCGGTATTTCCATGACAATTCATCACAGTAGTAAAGTGACAGTTATGAAGGAGCAATGAAAGTACTCTGTGGTTGGGGGTGACCACAACAGGAGGAACTGTATGAAAGGGTGGCGGCATTAGGAAGGTGGAGAACCACTGCTCTAGAGGGACAAGCCTGTCCTGGGCGGCGGCCCCTGCAGTTTGCTTCAGGTCACCTGATGAGCTCAGCCCTGGTGGGCGGGCCTCTAGCTCCTCCTGGCCCTGTCTTCCTTCCCTGCCCGCCCTTCACCTCACCTCACTTGCAGGTGCAACCTCAACTCATTGGGAACACTCCCGCCACTGGGATCAGTGCTCCCGCCCTTCTATTAGTCTCTGCTCACAGAGGAGCTGGTTCCAGTCAACAGGCTGAGCCACCCATCAGCCCCAGTCAAAGCTGTCAGACGGACAAACGGACACAGCTGTCTCACGCCAGCAGCAAGTCAAGGCACAGCTTGCTATCAGAGAGAGAACCTTGCAAATTTGATGACGGCAGATAAGTCAGGTTCAAATGTAATATCTTATCCTCTGGTCTCCCTTTCAACCCATTTTAAATGTGTTCTAGTTTCTTCCTCTGTTTTACTTTGTTATTGTTGCTAGGTTTGGGGGTATGTTTTTCTGCGAAAGAAATCCAAGACAGGAAAATCTATGGAGACCATAACTGGACTAATGGCTTCTTGGGGGTACAGTAAGGGAGGTTGGGGGGAAAGAGACTAATAACAAGGAGTACAAGAAAGAAGAAAATATTCTAAAATTGATTGTGGTGATGACTGTACAACTCTTTTTCATATGATTGAACTACTGAATTATAAGATGTAAATTACGGTATGTGCAATAAAACTGTTTTACAAAAAAAACAAAATCAAGTAGACCAGGGGGATCTGTGAAACTTAAAAAGCAAAACAAGGCACAGCTGTACCTAAAGACAGGAGGCTAATGAATGAAACAGACCTTCCGCGTGTGTAACAAATGGCAGCTGGGAGACGAGGCTGGGCCACACTTACATGAAACCAAGCCCCTCTCACTGCGCCGAGTCGATTCTGACTCACAGCCACGCCGCAGAGCAGAGCTGCCCCCGGCTGTAAATCTTTACAGTGCAGAAAGCTTTATCTGCCTCCTTCAAAGGGCATGGTGGGCTGGAACTGCTGACCTTGTGGTGCACAGACCAACGTGTAACCCACTATGCCACAGGGCTCTTTTTTAACACGCACACACACTCTCACTCACTCCCACCCTAGTAATCGCCCCCCCACCATGAGGACCTCTTACCTGTGGAAAGCAGGAAGATACAGGTGGCTCCCAGCCACAGAACAGAGGACATGCTGCCCTAGGACAAGGGAAAGAAAGCGCAGCCAACAATGAGTGCGGGAACTCCCTGTGTCACCCCACCACCCAGACAAGGACGGCTCACTGCCGCCCAGCCGATTCCGACTCTTCGTGACCCTACAGGGAGGGGAAGAAAGGCTCCTGGGGGTTTCAGAGACTGTAACTCGTTATGGAAGTCGAAAGCCTCATCTTTCTCCCGCGAGGCAGCTGGTGATTTAGAACCGCTGAGCTTGTGTTTAGGGCATTCTAATCCAGAGGATGCTCCTTGCCTTGGTAATTGATGCAACAGCTGGAAAACCCATGGGAGACTTCACTCCAACTACTTGGTGTTAATCAATAAGCCCAGGCTGTAAATCTTTACAAGACAGCCTCCTCTTTTTCCCTTGGAGCAGCTAGTGGATTTGAACTGCTGATTTTGTCGTTAGTAGCCCAACACAGAACTCCACAAATACCTCTCACATGGGTAACATTCAGCTCCACGGGGCCTGGATCCGTTTTTGAGGGGATTACTGAGGGCAGAAAGTAGGTCATTTTACTGAGAAGTTATCGACCTGGTGGCATCGTGGACTACAAGTTGGGCTGCCAGCAGCAAGATCGGCAGTTTGAACCCACCAGCCACTCTGAGGGAGAAAGCTGAGGCTGGCAGCTCCCATAAAGAGCTCCACCCTTGGAAATCAGCCGGGGCAGTTCCACCCTGTCCTATAAGGTGGCCTTAAGTCAGCATCAACTCGATGGCAGTGAGTTTGGTTTCAGAGTCTGAAGGACCTTGATTTTGACACCACACTGTTAGGGATCGAAGAGCATTTCCAAGTTTTTTGAAGTTCTAGCCTACACTTGTAGATGTAACCTTCTGTGGGAACAGGGTTTTATGATGCTCGAGAAGGGGCCAGTATGGGGTCTGTCCTATACCCAATCGCTTGTAGTGCAAAGCAGAGAGAGAAGGCGCAGGGAGATCTCCCAGGAACCAATGGCAGATCCGACATTTCCTGGATGAGACCCTTCCCCCAGAGGTCTCAGAGTGCCTTCCCCTATCCCCAGGGGCCTGAGATTGGCATCTAGCCACTAAACTAAGGAAATGCATTTCTGTTCTTCAAAGTCAGCCCCCGTGTGGTATTTCTGCTACTGCAGCACCAGACAACTGCCAGTGACAGACCAGACTGCCTTCCCGCTGTCCCCGTGAGGCCCCGAAAGGGCACTGCCATCACTAACATCCCAGAGGAATGATGTCCAGTCTTTCCCGGACAGCCTGGAGTCTAAGCAAGGACAGGTGGGGGGTAGGTCCTGAAAGGGATCACACACAAAACTAAGATATAGGCTCCTTCGCTCCGCCCCACTGGCAGCCCTCAGGATAATTTAGCAAGGGGGGGGAAAATTCTAAAAATGCGTAATAATCAGTTCTGAAAAATCTATTCATTGCCCTTCAGAATCCAAAGTCACAACCCCTCCCCCCAGCACCCCACCCTAACTTCTCTGCATTAAACTAACATACCAATAAAGTCTTGAGAAGAACAAGGCAAATTGTACTAAATTCTCCTTCTGTTAACAGATAACAGCAACTCTCACTCAGGAACTAACAGAAAGGGGGAGGTCCAAGCTTTGAGGGAACTCCCTGTTCGAGACAGACGAAGGTGGCGAACAGGCCGTCAGACAGCAGGCGTCACCCCTCGAGGGCTCACTTTAGCCTGTGAGCTTGAACCTGCAAGTCCCTCTGACAGAGCGGTTCTCGGCCTTCCTCATGCCACGACCCTTTAATACAATTCCTCATGTGGTGGTGACCCCCCAACCATAAAATGATCTTCTTGCTACTTCATCACTGTCATTTTGCTACTGTTATGAATTGGGCCACCCCTGTGAAAGGGTCTCTCAACCCTTAAAGGGGTCGCGACCCACAGATTGAGAACCGCTGCCCTCAGGTATTCGGTGTTCGCTTTTCAGCTGTTGAAGTCCAGGCCTTTCTTCCAAGGGGCCCGGGGTGGCCTTGAACCTCCCACCTTTCCATGAGCAGCCCAGTGCACTGACTCCTCCCACCTGCATGGGCACAGCAACTCTGTGAAGCACAGAGAAGACAGGTCCCAGCCCTCTCTGGCAGGTCACTAACATTCTGTTAACCTCACCTGCACTGATAGCCATTTCTTCAATGTGTCTGATGCTACCATCAACTCTGCCCAGGTAGACAGGCAGGCCTCCCAGCGGGCATTTCCCCACTCTGAATCCAGGGGGCAGAGACGCAGGGGCAAGTGCTCAGCCCGAAAACCCACCTGAAGAGCAGCGCTGCCACTGACCAACGGGGGCAGCAGAGTGCACAATGACTCTGCTCCTGCCCCTGGACCGGACGTGGAATTTCAGAAATAGCCGCAAACAGGGAGAGAAGGACTCTCTCCAGATCCTGTTTGCTCCTCTTGGGGAAAGGGGGCCATGCGGTGTGAGAGCGCAAGGGGAGAGGCTCAGGATGGATGAGCTGAGAAGCACCTGGGAGAAGAGGCTCGGGCAGGTGGGGGCTGACAGCCACCAGGATCAGGACCTCCACCCAGTCCAGCGGCTTTCCTCTCCATGAACCAGGATCTGGAGCCAGGATCAGCTCGGGGGAGAGGGGTGGGGGGGGGCTCCACCTCAGAATGCCATCCACACCAAGATGGCGGTGGGAGAAAAACCTGGCTTCAGAGCCCAGGCAGAGGCCACACCTGCTCCCAGGTGACGGAGGAGCCTCTTCATGAACCCAGGTGTCCCCACTATCTAGGTGCTGGTCTCTAACCAGCTCAGCAGCCTTCGGCCAGGCCACGACTCCTTACTACAAGATGAGGCCAGGCCACGACTCCTTACTACAAGATGAGGCCAGGCCAGTCACCACCTACCAGGGTGTCTTCTAGATTTAAAGAGCCCGTTGGGCCCCTCCTCTCCCAGGCACTTGTGACGATCTGACCTCACCCCATTGTATATTTAGTTCCAGGGATTTCAAAATGTTTCTAGACATAGGTGAATTACACACCCTGACCCGCTGAGCGCTCCTTTGGTCATGCTTCAAAGGGCTCAGAGGCTGCTCGGGTCTTTGGGTAACCCAAAGACACGTCGTGGGATAGCCCAGGCTGCCAGCCCCAGAGACAGGAGCTCCCCAGACTCGACCCAGAGGGAGGAGCAGTGGGCAGAAAGGAGATTGGCAGAAGTTTACCCTCTCCATGCTTCCAGCCCAAGCACATGCCAGCAGGGTGGATTTAGGCTTTTCCTTTGCCCCGAGGCATTTTCTCCTCTCGTGCTGTACACCTAGACTCAGAGCAAGCCTCCACCTGCCACCCAGGCACCAGCCGGGCGAGAGGCAGCGCAGGGAGAAGGCGAAGGGCTCACAGGGCCATCCAGTCTGCAGATTAGGCGGTTTCTCAGGGGCCACAGCACCTGACCTTGGGCAGCTGCTCAAGAAGGCATTTCAGGCCACTAGGTTTCTAGCAGCCCCCTCCCCAGGCTGCTGCAGGGATCACAGGGAAGAAAGAGCAATTAGCCCTTCCCACCTTGGGGTGCTCAGTAAACACAGGCACCCTGCTGCCAGGCTCCCAGACCAACCCAAGCAGCTTCTGTGCCTCTGCTTGCCCTGGTGGATGTTTTTCTAGTGTCTCCAATGTGTCCGCTCATCCGCACAAAATGTACCTTGGCAATTTGCGGATGGATACAAGAAGCGTGGGAGCCGATGACGCAGGCTCTGGGGCCCAGCTGCACCTCCGGCGCCTCTCCTGCAACACCGGTGGTCGTGGCAGGGACGGGAACTGCCCAGAAGCAGCTGTCCCGCTTGCCAGATGGTCCTATTCTCATGCCACGGACTAGGTTTTCCTCTCTGCTGGCACCTCAGCCCCCTGGGGCCCAGGCATACCTTCTGAGCCCATGAAGAAGCCCAAATCCGGCCTGCAGATGGGCTGGAAGGCTCCTACGGTCGATCTCTGAGTCCCTTAAACTCCTGCCGCCTTTTTGATACCAAGACAAACGAAGTCAGACCTCTTTCAACGTGGGCTGCTATGGGCTGATCCCTGTGGGAATCATCCGGTTTGTAACCGGGGCTTTCTTTGCGATGTGGCTGAGGCCAGAAAATCCCACTGGCACCAAGCTGATTCCTGCTCAGAGCCACCAGAGCGCACAGAGTAGACAACGGTCCCTTAGGGTTTCTGAGAGCGTTGATTGATCTGGATGGGAGCAGACAGCCTCATCTTCCTCCCTGACTGCGGTTAGCAGCCCAGTGCTGATCTCATGGGGCCACCAGCGCTCCTTGATCAGTGTGAGAACTCAAGCCAATCACTGCGGAGTTCTGCAGAGCAGCAAGGACACAGTCGGACAGGCAGGAAAGGAGATGCCACATGAGGATCACCAAGGAATGAGGAGCAGGACTAAAAGGCAAGGGGCTTCCTTGAAAGAGAGGGTCAGAGAAGGCAAGCATGCACACACTGCTTAAATCCCTACAGTGGGGGCCCTGAATTCAGACTGCTGGCCCCCAACTGTGAAAAGAAAACAGACTTCTGTTTTTCCAAGGGCCCCATGTTGGCAGGGTAGTTGCAGCTGTGCCCAGAATCAAAGAGCTGGTGAAGGGTCCTTAGCACCCTTTACAGACACTTCCCACCCAACAGCTGGTGAAGCCCCGGCTCCCAGCAAGGTGTTCTCAAAATGCTCAATGGGCATTCAAAATACAAGCTTACAACATGTGGTAGTTACATAATCTGGTGCCAACTGGAGACTAGTAAGAGTGAAGGGGTGGGGTCTAGCTTTCAATCAGGTCACTGCTTGATGACCTCATTTGGAGGGGTTATGTATATAAACAGCTCACGAGAGGCCAGACTCTCTCTGCTTGTCTCCCTGCGAGATATTCCTATTGACAAGCCACACTGAAGGAGCCACATGGAGACCCACGCCAGCACTGAGATACCTCCACCACCACTGGATCCACCAGACTTTCCACCCACTGGCCTGTGATCTTCCTGAATTCGGCATCATTGCATGGCAGTGTGAGTCTAAAGAGGAATTTGGGGACTCGTATCAACATATGGAGTAATATCGGACTGAGCAGGGGTGTTTTTTTAATGTACAATTGCTCTTTCATATAAAGTCTCTTACACGAGTCTCCCTGAATTTGTTTCTTTAGTCTACCCAGATTAACACACAACCATTTTTAAAAGATGGATTTACCAATACGACTCAACATCTACTCCCGTCTGTGAGCGCCTACTACATGCAGAATTTCCTACCACGGCTCTTCTATCCCGTCTATGTATGTATCTCCCACCAAATGATTGGGTGGGGCTATGCAAATAGGGCACATGTAACACTCTGAGGGAATTGGCTCATTTCAGTTGCTGTTCCCCTGGGACTCCGTGAGCGGTCTCAGAAGCAGGAAGGGAGCAGAGGCCGAGGCCCAAAGACCGTGGGACTGGGCAAAGAAGCCAGGGCAGAGCGGTTGTACTAGCAAGGTGGAGCGGCAGGTGAGCCTCCTGTCCCACAGAGGCAGAAGCTAAGGGACCACGTGGCTGAGAGCCTGAGGATGAGAGAGAGAGAGAGAGAGAGATTTGGCTGCTGGCTGAGGAGAGGCGCTGCTGTGGACCAAGGACTGGACCATTGCTGCTTACTGAACCTGACTTGTGGTGACCTGTTAGCTCCCTGAATAAATTCTCACAATTGTGAGTTTTGATTGTGAGTTCTGTGTGGCCATTGTAGCTAATTTATCAAACCAGGAAGAAAAGTCCAGTGTTGTAGGAGGGATGGTTAGTGCCAGAACAGGTAAGGAAAGATGGACGGTGGAGGCCTGTCTGACGTCTGCCTTGTGGCAACTGGCCTTGAGCAGGTGTGGAGATGGATTCTCCTTCTCCCAACGGCAGCCAGAGGTGGTCTGATATGGCCCTGAGCCATTTTTGGCAGGTATGAGCCCCACTTTACAGGCAAGTGCCTTCTCCCAGGCTCCCCAGCTAACAAGTAGAGTAGGCTGCCTTCTGGCCTCCCAGCGGGCTAGTCAGTTTGCCACCTTCTTGATTTGGAGGATAGACTCTACGAGCAGTCTTGGATCGACCAGCAGGGAGAGACGGTCGAGTTGGGAGGTAAGGGGCCACTCTCTGCCAGGAGGTCCAGGCTCCGGAGAAGAGGCCCTGAGTGATGGGCAGGAATGGACAGAAACCCACTGCCCAGGAGTAGTTTCTAATTCAGAGGAGACCTGCCCCCCACGACATTTCCAAGGCTGTCCATCTTCACAGAAGCAGATGGACGCGTCTTTCTCCAAAGGAGGTATGGCTGGTGCTTGTAATAGCCGTGTTTTCGGTTAGCAGCCAAGTATTTTAGCCATGGTGCCACCAGGGATCCTTAGAGGAAAAGACATCTTTGAAAAGCTGCCCAGCTGTGTCCTGCCCTTGGATGGGTTTCCACCAGCCAATACCTGTTAGCAACCCTCAGCTGGAGCACAGGGAGGGAGACCCTGGGCAAACTCTGCCTTGTTGTGCAAAGCCTTCAGGAGCAGCCTGTATGTAACCCAAGGGCAGGAATCAGCCCCTTCTGTTTCCCAGCTGTAAACAAGCACCTTGCTCATCCAGTTCACCCCTTTCAGGTCCATGACCTGGCTTCCAGGGCTCCCCGACTCCCATCTTTTCACTTGATGGCCTGTGCCTTCAGGTCCTGGGTTCACCCAGGACCAGCAGAGGTTAGGACAGTGGGGTTGGGTCAGTGGCAGGGCAGTGCGACCATCATCACCCACCCCCACCCCCAGCCCCACCCCCCAGCACACTGCCCCTGGGCCCAAGGAGAAACAAAGGCCCAACTAAAGCCACATTTGAAGACAGGGGTCTTTTGCAGGACAATGCATGCATCTCTTCCCCCAAGCAATGGAAGTGAAATGAGGGCAGAATGAAAGAGGAACACCCCCCCCCACCGCCCTACAAAAGGCCACCCCCACCCCAATTATTAGATTAGCCCCTGGATTGGAAATCTGAGCCCTTCCGGCACAGTCATCACCTGAATGCGGCTGCTCTGGCCAGGAAGGGCTGGCTGACTTTCTGGGGAACAATCCTCTACCTTGTCTGTTTGCCAAAACACTTGGCCCCGGCCCAGGGAATCGGAGCTGGGAGCGAGGGACAAGTTTCCAGGTTCACAGGGCAGTGGTGGGGAGAGTCCTCTAAAAGCTCCCTAGGGAAAGTCAGGCTCCTCTGAGAAGTGAGTCTGCACAGAGTCCGCACCTAACAGGCCGACAACCGGAAGTGAGTACCAAAGGGTCATGCTGGACTGGCTGATCCTGGATTCACTGGAGGCTGGGGGTACAGTTGGGTAGGCGGAATAAACCACGGGGTCCCCCACATTTTGCTGTGCCCGAGAGCTCTTGAGAGGTTGGCTTTGATGGCATTTAGCAGAAATTCTCTGCAGGGGACCCCAGGAACAGTGAGGTTTGGGAGTGCCCAGGTCCTCAGGTTTGGGGGCAGCATTCACTCCAAGCTCCGTTGCTAAGCAGCTGGGTGACTCTTCAACTCCTCTCTTCAATGGGGATAATCTTTAACAAACCCACTAGATCAGGTGTCCTCAAACTATGGCCCACCAAGGACATTTATTCAGCCCGCCGGGTGTTTTTGCCCATTTTGTTTTTTTACTTCAAAATAAGATATGTGCAGTGTGCATAGGAATTTGTTCATAGTTGGGGTTTTTTAAACTCTAATCCAGCCCTCCAACGGTCTGAGGGACAGTGAACTGGCCCCGTTTAAAAAGTGTGAGGAGTCCTGCCCTAGATGATTGCAGGAACAAAAACGCAACTGGCTCGGGTTGCTGGCTTTCCGGCAGCCCTTACTAATCCACTTCTGCAGCTCGGCCTTCTGCAACCTGGTTTCGGGCTCTTTTCTCTACAAAGGCACCTTGCTTACTACAAGGCCACAGAAACCAACCTCTAGGTTTTAGACATGAGCTTATGAAACACTTAGCAGCTCGATTCTGGGGCTTCAAGGAGCCCGGATGGCACTGACAAGGAAGTGTTGAACTGCTAAGATCAGTGATTCAAACCCACCAGCTGCTCAGGAAGAAAGATGAGGCTGTCTGCTCAGGTGGTAAAGATACGCAGCCTTAGACAGCTGACTTCGGGTAGGAATTGAATTGATGATGGGGGAAGGGGGGCAGGGAGGACACTGAGTGCTTCTGATTTTAATTGAAGGCACTATCGTTAAACACCGCACAAACTGATTTATTCCAGGCCCAGGTTTGGAGCCCCCTGGAAGCCCTTCTCTTCCTCCCAGGTGCCTCAAAAGAAAAACCAACCCCCTTGCCATTGAGTGGATTTCAACACAGCGCTCCACCTGTGGGGTTCCAAGTCTGTAACTTCACAGGAGTAAAGTCTCACCCTTCTCCCTAGGAGCACTTGGTGGTTTGCAATGGCTGACCTTGCAGCTTGCAGGCCTAAGCTCTGCCCCACCAGAGCGGCTGCCTAGCTCCAGACCTGGGATGTTTGAAAAGATGCACCTGTCCAGATCCTAAGGTGCAATTCTGAAACCCTCCAGTCACCGGCCCAGCAAATGGGAGGGGGCCGGGCCACCACGGGGGACAAGTCCCTGGGAGTTCCCTCCCCTCTAGGACTGCTTGCAGACCTGGGGAAATTGCATGAGAGCCACACCACACCTGCAAAGGAGAGGGGGGAGGGGTATGTCTGCAAAGCCCTTATCCAAAAAGCCAATCCACACCTGAGCTCGCTGGCCAAGGGTCCCGAGGCCGTGCTGGCAGCCTGGGTTTGGAACCCTCACCACCCCCACCCCACGCGCCCTTACCTGCGGTCCCAGCCCTTGGCTCATCACGGCTTGCTGGGGTCCCTAAGAGGGTCCGCTCCAGGCCCAGCGACCCCTTCTCAACCTCGCTGCTTGCCCGGTCCCCGGCCGGCCTCTGGGCCGCCAGGTGCGCTCTGCCCGGACGCGACTTCCAGGACCGCGCTCCCGCGGGACGCAGACAATGCTAGACAAAGCGCGCACGACCAGCCGGCCAGGGGACCGGCGTCCACGGGTCCTTGGGCACGAAGGCGGGCGGGAGCGGCGACCGGAGCGCGCTCCTTGCTCGGACCGCAAATGGAACCTGCCTGCCAGGCCGCGCCGAGGCCGCTTTTGGCTGGAACTGGGCGGCGAGGCCGGCAGGAGGGTGCTGCCGGCGCGCGTGCCGGGAGCCACGTGGGACACCTGTGTGTGTGGTTCCCCAGAGGCGGGCGGGGCCGGGGGCTCTCCCCGGGGAGGGGCGCTGGGCGGAGCTGGGAGCCCGCTGGCAGGGCACCCCTGTTGTAACCAGGGTCTGTATCCCAGTCTGCAGAGTTGTTGCGAGAGTGCTTATGCCGCCGTCTGCTGTCGGCTGCGCGCAGTTGATTGCTCAGACTGGGGCGAAAATGTTGACTCTGCTACCGTTTCTGCGTGTCATGGCGATTGCCTTTTGTGTATCATCTGTACGTATGTCCTGCGGTTGCAGCCGGACGGCGAGAATTGAGTGCCTGAAGTCCAAGCTCAGGGTTTTGTTTGCTTTTAAAACCAAACCCCACAGAGCCAAACAACGCAATGCCAGGCACGATGCAGTCCGTGTGCATGGCCAGGGCGCATACGGGTCATCCGCAGTGTTAATGTTCTCAACAGAGATTCGTGCGCATTCCAACAATCAAAGACGAGTAAGGGTGGGCACCCACACCCGCATCATCCCACTGCTCAGAGGTCACTACGGGCGTCACAGAATGCTAGGTCATTAGAACAAAGGGTTCTTGCATCGAGGGAGGGCTTGAGTAGAGGCCCAGTGTCCTTCTGCTGTAGTTAGCAGCCTAACTTGCCACGAGTGTTCTCCTTTTAGTCTATGTGCCCCCGGAGCAAGCACACCAGGAGTGTTGATCAAAGCAGTCCTGGCAACAAAACCAACAGGTGAATTCAGTGAACTTAGGGTTCGAAGCGTCACTGTAATCCGGCAGGAACAACAGCGCAGCCTGGGAGCACCGTAGAAAACGAACGGTTATGCAACCCATTCTGGCTGCAGGGCAGGGTCCCTGCGCCTCCGTGGTGTCCCAAGAGCTGACCATTTACCTGTAGAAAGGCTCGCTTTCCTCCTGAACTGTTTGTGTTGGGGTGAGCAGCCCAACACGGAACAACTGTGCCACCAGGAGTGCATGAGAAGGTTCAAAAACAGAATTTTTGCTTTTTATTATCAACTGTACTTACAAAAAATATTTTGGATGTGGTAACGATCTACAGCACTAGTTCTCAACCTCCCTACTGTCAGGACCCTTTGATACAGTTCCTCATGTGGTGGTGACCACCCCCCCCAAACATAAAATTATTTTCGTGGCTACTTCATCACTGTCATTTTGCTACTGTTATGAATCGGGCAACTCTGTGAACGGTCATTCTACCCCCAAAGGAGTTGCGACCCACAGGTTGAGAACCGCTGATCTACAGGGATTATTTTTATAGAAAAATAAATAAATTCTCACAGTCACCTAGTGCAGCCCCTACGTCTGGTGCTGCTGCCACTGTGCCATGAGGTTTCGAAGACGAACCTTTATGTGAATAGACTGGCACATCTTTCTCATAAGGCACAGCTGCTGGGGCTGAACTGCCCATCTGTAAGTTAGCAGCCAAATGCCTACGCACCGTGGCACCCAGGCAACCAGCGGGAACAAAATACAGAAACAAAAAGCTCCCTGCCGGCAAGTTGATGCCGACTCACAGAGGCACTATAGGGTAGAGTCGAGCTGCCCTTGAGAGTCTCCCAGCAGAAAGCCTATCTTTCTCCCACAGAGTGGCTGTCGGTTTAGAACAGCTGTCCTTGCAGTTAGCAACCCAGCACTTACCCACTGTGGCATCAGGGGCCCTAGGGGAAATAAAGGCCTGCTTTTTATGTGTTCCAGACAGCGGATTAAGCCAGAACAAGAACCAAGGTCGTAGGGGCAACAAGAGGAAATAAATCTACCTCAAAGCTAACGGCCCCTCAAGTTTGGAGCAGGCACCAATTAATTGTCTTGAGGATTAGAACATACATTCTCTGCTTCTCCTTAAGAGGGAATGATGCGCAGGATTCGACTGGTTTGGCTTTCGGAGAATGTGCTTTCTGCTGGAATCGAGCACCCGTGGATCACCCAGGAGGCCCAGTTGACCCCAACGTCATCATCATTCAACTACCCCCTAAAGCTAGGTAAGCCCTCTACATCACACTGCCCATTCGGCATCATTCCCATCGCCCGGCAAAGGGCCAGTATCATGGTACTGTGGATTAGTGGCAGGCTTCTCAGGGCAAGCAGTTTAAACCCACCAGCCTCTTTGTGGGAGAAAGAAGAGGCCGTCTGCTCCCATAGTCTCTGAAACACTACTCTGCCCTAGGTACGGTTTGCTTGGTGGCAAATGGCAGTGAGGCGAAGTCTTCACGAAGTGCATTCTGAGAGCAGTCTGGGTAGATGGCTGTGGGTGGGTCAGGGGCTTCCGCCTCTGCCAGCCTTGAGCCCCTGGCTTATAGTAGGTGGTGGGGCCTTGCAAGCTTTTACCCAAGACCCCCAGCATCTCACACAAGGAAGTAGGAGGTGGAACTATAACCAACCACCTTCCCAGGGCCAATTAACTGGGATGAACTATGACCTCCAAACCAAAAAAGGTCAAACTTCATAAACAGCCTCAGGATTTTGTGGGGGGCGGGCGGGGTGTATCACGGTTGTAAATGACCTTTTTGCATCTGCAACTTCTCACTGGTGTACAGCTTCACAGCTCTTGCAATAGTCCTCTGTGCATCCCCGTCCTTAATGCCATTCTCCCGCCCCCATTAGCCCTATTCCCCCACCCCCCATATCCATTCATGGAACTCTGATCTCTATTATACATTTCCCTGTCCTCTTTTTACACAAATGAGGTTGTGTATCCTTTTGTGATCAACTTCCTTCACCTGGCAAGCTACACCCATACAGTAGGTCCCATCAAGAATCTCTCTCCTCCCCCCCCCCACTATCATGATCCCAATTCTACCTTACAAATCTGGTTAGACCACAGATGTACACTGGTACAGATAGGAACTGGAAACACAGGGAATCCAGGACGGATGATCCCTTCAGGACCAGTGGTGAGAGTGGTGATGCCGGGAAGGTGGAGGGAGAATGGAGTTGGAGGGGGAACCGATTACAAGGATCTGCATATAACCTCCTCCCTGGGGGACGGACAACAGAAAAGTGGGCGAAGGGAGACATCAGAGGGTATAAGTTATGACAGAATAATTTATAAATTATCAAGGGTTGATGAGTGAGCTGGGAGGGAGAAGGGGAAGTGAGGAGCTGATGCCAGGGGCTTACGTGAAGAGCAAATGTTTTGAGAATAATGAGGGCAATGAATGTACAAATGTTCTTTACACAATTGATGTATGTATGTATGGATTGTGATGAGTTGTATGTGCCTCTAATAAAATGATTTTAAAAATCTCTCTCCTTCAGGCTTGAGTGTGGATAAACTCACCATATCAAGGTTTATCCATTCACCTACTGGTGGGCAAGTAGATGGTCACAACTTTTGGCTGCTGTGAATAGTGCCAGCAGCACTGGTGTGCAAATCTCTCGGGGATCTCTAAAACACTATAGATGTATTGTTTTTGCCTGGTAGCCTCCTAGCCGTGAGCCCAATGCAAGATTCTCTCCTGGAGTTCAGCAGCTCAGGGTCCCGCTACTGCTTCAAGGAGCCCTGACTACGAGCTTTCTGGAAAGCTGATGATGTAGTGAGAGCTGTTTTAGGACATTAACTCCCTCAGTTCCCAGTTTTAGGTTGTTCACACTTCCAGCTGCCACAGCAAAATAATACAAGGCACATTGAATAAGCTTTCTCCTGCGCCCCACCCTTCAATGTTCCTTGGTAGAATCTTTGCCCTGGCAAACTGGATCTGACTTACCTCAAGATTGAAGTGGATTCAACCAGGCAATAAAAGGATTCATTTAGATGTGTGGACTTGGCTCGCTACTTACCTCTGACAGAATGGAGGAGTTGAGGACCCAGCACCTCCTGCAATGTCAGGCCCAGGGCTAGGGCTGGCGCTGGGCCGGCTCAGATGTGTGAAATGAACAAGGCCTGTAGCCGATGATACCACGGAACTTCCGTTGCCTGTAGATTGGATCTGGGGCCCACTGACCCATGAACCTACTGCAATAGATCCTGTTATAACTCAGTAAAGCCAGTCATGATCTAACATTAAATTCTGTAATGTTTCTTTGAAAAAATTCTAGTGCTGTATGAGAAAACAGATGAATTATATAAAATTTTTTAAAAAAATCATTTTATTGGGGGCTCTTACAGCGTAGAACCATACAATTGTGTGAAGTACATTTGTGCATGTTGTCATTTCCAAAATATTTTCTACTTGAGCCCTTCGTATCAGTTCTTTTTATCATCCTCCCTCCCACTCGTGAACCCTTGATAATTTATATTTTTATTTCCATATTTTACACCATCGTCTCACCTTCATCCATGTTTCTGTTTGGCCTCCTGGGGAGTTTACTACATAGATCAATCACTGTGATCAGTTCCTCCTTTCTCCCCCATCCTCCCCCTACCCTCATGGTACAGATACTCTTATTGTTCCTGAGGGGTTTACCTGTCCCACATTATGTCAAGAGCTCTTATCTGTACCAGTATACATGCTATGGTCTAGCCTGATTTGTAAAATAGCACTGAGGTCATCATAGTGGTGGGAGGAAGCACCAAAGAACTAGAGGAATGTTATTTCCTCTATGCTAAACTGCACCCTGGGTGGCTTGTCCCTTCCTTGTGAGGGGATGTCCAACCGTCTACAGATTGGGAGGGGGGCGGATCTTCATTCGTGACCCCCCCCCTCATTCGCATCAAAATGGTTTTGGATCTTGTGACCCCTGATACCTGATCCCATCAACACCTTGTGATCATACGGGTTGGTGTGCTTCTTCCATATAGGCTTTGTTGCTTCCCTGCTAGATGGCTGGGTTTTTTTGGCTGCATTTTTAACTTCAAGCCTATTACCCCTTGTAATAGCCAGGTACTATCAGCTTTCTTCACATTTGCTTATGCACCCATCTTGTCTTCGGCAATCATTGTTGGGAAGGTGAGCATCACAGAATGCCAGGTTATTAGAACAAAGTGTTCTTGTGTTGAGGGAGGACTTGAGTAGAAGCCCAATGTCTGTCTGCTACCGTAATACTTAACAACCTATAAATCTATGTATGTACATAGACCTATATCCCTATTATGTTTATATTTGTACATACCTATGTTTATACCTCTGTCATTTGCCTCCTAGTTCTTTCCTCTATTTCAATTGAATAAATATTAACGTACATTTTGTGTCTTTTTTACTTGCTCCACACACACCCACCCCCACCAACAATTTTCCTTAATAGAAGGTCCAGTTTGTGGTTCCCTAGTTTCCGCCTGATTTTTCAGTGTGGCTGGGATGGAAGTGGCTGTGTGGTGTTGGTTGGGCCTCCCAGACGGGCAAGGGAGGAGGAGTCGGCAAAGCCTGGGCAGAAGAAGGCAAGGGAGCTCGGGTGCAAAAGAAAAAGGACTTTATTGGACAGAGCAGCATCAACCTTTACTCAAGCGCATCGCTGTCTGACAACTTTTTACAGAAGTAGAAGCATTCTGTCTAACCTTGCACATTAGGCAGCACAGCGTGCTGGGAAAAGCAAGCAATCCCTCCGCCTAACTGCTGAGAGCCGGTGACACCACCTTCTTCAACGGTCACACGCTCGTCACGAGCATTCTCTTACTTCAGAGGGAAACTCAGGCTGGCAGGAAAAGTCCATTGCCCAGAATTCTGCACATGTGAGCTTTAGAGGATTTCAGATTGCTTTTATGTGCATCCAGGGAAACAACATGTACTCTAATTGAGGTTTGTAACATAAATTGATAACTGTATTTATGCTTCAGACAACAGTAAATTCTCTAATTTAAAAAAAATCTGCATCACAAATGATGTTCTTCCTGTGACGTGGCTGCAGTTTGGGAAGAGGAAGGGGCCAGTTCTTCCGTGGCCAGAGCGGTCCAGGGCCGTAGTGGAGAGCATGCCCAGGGCCTCAAGGCCAGACCCAAACCCATCCCCCACCGGGGTGGAGAGAAAGGGACTGGCCACTCTGGAACGGGCAGGGACCGAGGGGCTGACCTGACCCTGCGGGAAGCCACACACCACGGAACCCCGTGACGTGGCGTGGCGAGGCAGGGGAGGACAGACAGCATGCAAAAGCACACCTGTCAGGACGCATTTTGAACACACAGGGAAGGTCTAGAAAACAGCCGTGCGTACGCACAGGGTTGTCATGAGTCAGAGTTAACTCAACAGCAACTGGATCTGTCCGGTGGTCGTCCACCTGGAGCCGGGCTTGCCCGAGTCAGAAAAGGCCAGGTGGAGACACACACGGAAAGGCCCGCGTCATCCCGTCCACAGACGTGCGACAGTCTTGTATGGGAGACCTATGTGCTCTGGAAGAGGAACTTGCGGAAACAACAAGCCCCAACGAAACAAGTGTTAGAGGCAAGGAGGGGGTGGGTGGCAGGGAGGGAGTTCATGAGCAGACAAAGGCCCAACCAACAGAAACAAGAGGTGCAGCTCTTCCACTCCCAGGCCTTGCCACTTCCTTTCTCACAGTGTGCATCTTCGAGAGACTGCCTCTGAAAGAGAAGAGCCAACCATCACCACGTGGGCCTTGGATGAAGTGACGGTCACCAGGGCTTTCACGCTCCTTGTCAACAGAGCGAGTCCAGTGTTCACGTGGAGCTGAAATGACGCCGCGAAACCAGAGCTGTCACTTAATGAGATGACACAGCACCTCAGCAAAATGTGAAGGTGCCGTTACCTTGGGAGGTGGCTGAGTGCTTATTTTCCACTTTTGAGCAAGACCGTATGTTTTCATCACAGCCCCCCGATGTTAGCTAAATTATGAACAAAAATTCAGACAAATTTCCCTAGTGATGACCGAACATTTCATTTTAAATACGTTACACTTCTCTCTCTAAGGAGAATTAGCAGGAGAAAAACAGTCGACTGTATTTTCCCCAGTCACCAGGTTACTCTTGAACAACTGTTCCTAGTCATAGCCTCTTAGCTGCATGCCCCACTGAGGTGATCTCACCTACACAGGTGTGGCAGCACGGACCATGTCTGTGCCTGTCTTTCTGTTGTCTTGGGGCAGATATGCCCCTCTCTGAATTCCTACTTCCTTTTCTGTAAAATAGGTCTACTTACATTCCAAGGGCATTATAAAGATTAACTCTCTGAAAAGTGCGCCGCATGGTACATTAATTATATACTGTACCTCATATTCTTGCCTAATATAAGGTGCCAAACTATTCAAATGTAATGAAATACATAGTTATCTCACAGTACGGGAAGCCAATTCAATTATTCTGCTTTAAATCCACCGTTTTTATTTTAAAGTTAGTAAAGGCTTGTCCTTTCATCTACAAAGAAGAAAAAAGATGGGACTTATCTGGGGTTGTGTACACGCCCTGCTTTCACTAGTTTCATGAAAAAGGCACATTACATACAACTTAACAAACTTGGTTCAAAACCCTGTGACTTGGTTTGGTACTCTGAGATTTGTGTCACTGCATATATGCCTTACACTACAAAATTCAAGCTGCCAACAAATTTAAGATTTTAAACTCCAATATACAACAAAGCAGCAGCTGAAACTAAACCTTAATATGTCAGAATACCAAGTGATCAAAGGGCTGAAAACTCTTTAACTGCAACCGTGCAGCAGTACCTCTTAAAAATAACCTGGAAGTGGTCAAGGGAAGAAATCCTGAGAATCAAGGCTGTTGTCTTGCAAACGGATCCTGCCGAGAATGCTCCCTGATGCTCTCAGACAGACGATGACGACAACATGGCACCACATGGGATGTCTTCTCCACAGGGCCGGGCCCTACCTGAGAGCTATCACGGCCCTGGGGACTCGCAGAGACAACACAACCACAAAATGCATGGTCTCCAAGCGGTGAACGCAGACTACACTGCCCAACAAGGGTGCGCATGCGTTAAAGTCAATCAGAGTTCCTGGGCTTTTGGTACAAGGAACTCCAGGTGACACAGGCCTGCCTCACTGTGACCAGAGTTCCAAAGGCTGTTGATCACAACGTCATTTCTGTGGGCCCTCGGAGACAATGCATCCTACCCGGTGGACGAGCACAGGGTGACTGGTTCTCCGTGGGGATCACCACAGCGCAAAGAGGGGAGGAGGTTCCGCACTGCAAGGTAACAAACAGCCAGGGCAGCCCACTGTCCTCCCTGGCCCCGAGTTAGAGCCTTGTCCCCAACAGTGCTCAGCATGTGCACCGGGCTGTGTGTGGATGAGAGCCAATTTCAAACACACTCAGAGAACGGAGGCAGACCCACTTGTATACATCCCTCGACTTATCAACAACTGCGAGCAGTCCCAAAAGCACAGGGCAAGAATGGGAGGTTGCTGGAAGCTGGACGGCCCCAGGCTTGCTTCCTTGAGTGGGAGGAGGGGGAGCTAGGAGGCGCTGGGCTTCACACCCACACCCATCCACCCTGAAAGTGGGGTTTCCCGGGGTGGTGGGAGTGGGAAAGGAGCATCAGAACGGAACGTACTTACTAACTTAACAGTTTTTTCATTTCGATGAATTTATTTTGACTGGTGGGGTTGTTCAAGAGAAAGCGAAGAATCTGTTCATGTTTCTCAACCTGGAGAGGGGCACAGAAGTCCACATGCCTTCCCTGCCTCCTGAAGATGGAGAGGAGGCGCAGTGTGGCCCTGGGGGCAGGGCAGGGCCTCACCTGTTTCTGCAGCAGCTCACAGCAGCAATCTGCCCTGCCCGTTGTCTTCTCTGAAATCAAAGGTGAACAGGTGAAGCCACCAGTAGCCAGCCCAGCCTGGGCGTCTGGGCAGTGATGGTCTGGCCCCAGGGCATGGCTCCCCATACAACCACGGGCCCTTCCTTCTCACCTGGGCTTACAGGTGATTTGCCACCTGGACTGTGCCAAACGAATGCCCTCGCAGCTCGAGCTTAGGCCTTTCGTTTTACCGTATATAGATGTCCCTTTGTTTGCGGCAGGTCTGCCCACCTTTACCCCCTCCACTAAATCTTACGGAATAGCAAGTAAAAGCCAATCTCAAAAGTGGTTTCTTCTCACCTTGACCAGGATCACAAGCAAGTTACAAGGCAGGCAGTGGGCGGGGCCGAGGCTGGACACAGAGAAGGCAAGGACAGGGCTGGCTCCCACTGAGGCCCCGACAGGAAGCAGGGCACTGCCCCATGGCCTGGCCCTTCCGGAAGGTGAGGCAAGAGGGGGAGACTGACCACTACACACTGGAGGACCCCTGCTGTGAACCGAAGCTGGAGAAAATACCTGTGTGGAAAGCATTTTGCTTCTTGGGGGTGTTCGTCGTCAGACCGCACACCAGCTTGTCGGCTAGGTTGGCAGGCCCGTTCTCGGAGCACTTCTCGACGGACACCGTGTGGACATTCTGAGTGACCCCTCTGACAGATATCATGACGTTCTGATTCAACATGAAGGTCTTCAGCAGCTCTATTATTAACTGAGAGCAGCTTCCGTTTAATTCCATCAGTCCTAGAAGGAAAACGGAATGTTATAGTTAGTCTTCAAGGCCCTTGAAAGGAGCTGAGATCACAACGCATCCAGTCATTTCTATCTGGGCCTGGGCAGATAAATTCAGAAAAGAAATCAAAAGTACTCAGCATTCACTGCTCAGCTGATGCGTGCCATGTAAACACAAGCACACACGCACATCGTGATGATGCTGAGGGTCAGGGGATAGACTGCTTACCCCAAGGTCGGCTGTTCAAACCCACCCCCAGCTGCACGGTGGGAGAAATACAAAGCTGTCTGCTCCCTTCAAGATTTCCAGTCCTGGAAGCCCCGTGCTAGGCCGCTGAGAGTCGGAATTGACTGGATGGCAGTGAGACCTAGACCAGGGCTTGACATACACAGCCCAGAAGCCCCAAGCCCACTGCCTTAAAGTCAGTCGCCACGCACTGTGCCCCTACAGGACAGGGTACAACTAACTGCCCATGTGGGTTTCTGAGGCTGCCAACCTGTACAGGAGCAGCCAGCTTCTGCTTTCTCCCCTGGACTGGCTGGTGGGAGAGGGTACAAAGCAGGCCCCACCTGTCCTAATGGCTATATCCCCTCTGAGGAGGGAGGCCAACAGTGCTTGCTCACTCTCTGCGACACAACTGGAGCAGACTGCAGAGCAATGCCACCTGCCAGCACTGCCGACCGAGGACAGAGCCGCTGCAGCCTTTAGTTCACGCCATTCAAACGCCAACAGCAGGGATAAAACACGAGCAGACTGAGCCTGCAGAGTAAGGTAGCAGAGAAACGTGCTTCTTGTTCCTGGGTGATGCCAACCGAAAGGCTGGCGGGAGTGGGGGGGTGGAAGATAGGGGGTGCGTTCAAGTCCACCCAAGGGCACGCTGGAACAAAGGCCTGGGGACCTCCTTCCAGAACAGGCATCACTGAACACCCACGGAGCAGAGTTCAACTCTGAAACACACGAGAGCCTAACAGAGGTGGCTCGGGAGGAGAGAGGTCAGGGGGCCAGGGGGTGCAGCCTGGCGCGTGCCTGTCATGCACATTCATTTGCGCTCTAACCTGGAGCCGGGGAGCAGCTCGAAAGCTGGGCAGTCTGAAAGCAATCTGTAGGACAAAGATAGACTAGCCAAAAATCATTTCTGTAAGAATTAAATAAAGACCAACAAAGAGGAAATTTCTCTATTAGCCTTGCTGAATGTTTAGAAATACGTGCAGCTGCCTAAAATACTCTGACTCGGATCTACTTTAAGACAAAGAGAACGCCCACCCCACCCCCCAATTAGCCAGTGGCGTCACCGTTTACCTTCCAACGAGCACTTAATAACTTGGAAAGGAAGTGTCAGGTGGCTGGCAGAGGCAGGCTTCACTCTTGAAAGGGGCAGAGTTTCCACGTTTCCATAGTCCGCGTAGAGCACTTTCACACGAGCATCTGATGTCCCCAGAACAATGGCACGGTACCAGAGATCATCACCTGAAAACAACCCGTCAGACAGAAGGTGCCATCACGACCTGGCTTCCCCTGGGCTTCCCATGTAGAGTGACGGTCACTTCGCTTACCAGTCCCAGACAATTTCTCAGTAAAGCGTCCGTCCCAGCTCAATCTCGGCCCTCAGCTTTATTCCCTCTCAAATCCTACAAAAACCCCACCAACCACTCCACGTGCCACGACTGTGCTTGTAGCCAGGTGGCGCCAAGTCGGTTTGGACTGTCGGTGACCCTGTGGCACAACAGAAGGGACACTGTCCAGTCTCGTGCTGGACACAACTGCTGCTCTGTTTGAGCCCATTGTGTTGCAGCTACCATGTCAGTCCATCTTGCTGGGGTTTATTTTCTTCTTATTAATCATTTTATTGGGGAGCTCTTCCCAATCCATCATGCATCGGTATCAAGCACACTTGTACGTATGTTGCCCATCCACATTTGTAAAGCATTTTCTTTCTGCTTGGGCCCTTGCTATCTGCTTGTCTTTTTACCTCTCCCTCCCTGGCTGGGACTTAAAAAGGCCTCAGAGCAGGAGAGGAGACCACATGGAAAGCACCACACGGCTAGGGGTGATTTCTCAGAGCCCAGGCACCTGGCACCATCCACATCTCCAAGCTCCCCAGCTCCCAAGGCACCATGGTTCACGCCTCCCGCCACCAGAAGCAGGTGTACAGCTGGAGCTGAGCGCAAAACCCAGGCGGCCGGCCCCTCATCGAAATAGACTGGCACTGCGGCGACTATGAGGACGGTGCTGGACTGGGCAGAGTAGAGCCATGGGGTGGCCCCGGGGAGCAACTGGACAGCACTTCCCACACCCTCCACCACCCACTTCCACACACCCGACTCCCGCAAGCATCTTTCCCTCTACACATCACCTGCCATCACTCCACAGTCACACAGAACGTTGTTAATCCACCGTAATTCCTGTTGCCGGTGGGTGCCACCAGGTGGGTTCCGGGTCATAAGGACCCAGTACACACCAGAACAAAACCCTGTGCGGCCCTGCACGGTCCTCACGAGCGTTCTCATTTGAGACCACCTGCTGCAGCCACTGCGTCAATGCAGCTCGTCCTTCCTCTTTCCTGCTGCCCGCCTGCTGGAGCAGGCATGGTGTCCATCTCCAAGGACAGGCCTCTCCTACTAGAACCTGGTGACCGAGAGCCGGTTTGCCTAGAAACCCTGGCAGATCTCGAGCACAGGAGTCCACAGCTTTGTTTCCTGGCCCAACCCTCAACCGGTGGCTACGCAGCTGCCTCCACCAGACCCCACGGGAACCACACCCCGGAGGACAGGGGACTTGCATCCAGGAGGAGCCTCCAGTCTTGCATGTTCCCTCTAAGACAGCGGGAGGGGGGGAGGCTTACCTGTGTACTGGGAGCAGCAGGCATCTCCAATTCGTGGGAGGTAGTCCGGCGGGCTTCTCTGAGCATTACCGTATTCCAGCAATTCCGCTGCCAAAGCACAGAGCTTTTCCTGGTCTTCTGAAACGCATAAAAACATGGTTGTGGAAGAACTCGCCAGGGCAACACCACCGTTCAACACAATGCCAGGCCCACACAGTGATTTCCTAAAACCACCGTGTATGTGGAAAACTAATTTAGCTTAAAAGACAAGTGTCCCGCTGATGGTCATCTTTGGTGGGAAGATGCGATGGCCGGAGGGGCCCGAGGGAAGCCTCTGGCGCCTTCCTTCCCGGTCAGAGTGGACTTAGCAACGGGGTCACTCTGCGCAAACCCCTTGCACGGTCTTCCTGCAGCCGGCCTGTGTCTTAGCTCATGGAACAAAGCCAGCCAGCCTCAATGGCTTGACTCTGAAAGCAACCTTTCAGGGTGTCTGGGGCAAGTTTGGGTTCAAATGCTCTGAAACGGCTGTAGTGGGGTCAGCTGCTAAGTACGCTCAATACGTTTCGATGTCCTTCGAATGAGAACCTGTACTGTGAAACCACAATTATTTTTCAGCCACCTAAAGGCCAGGCGGAGCGGTGCGGTTGCCTTTTCACCAGCAGGTCCTCCAGAGGGAAACCAGCTGCGCTGAGCGCCTCTGCTCACGTGCGCACTTCCGGAGGAGCTCGAAGCAGGTACTCTCCCAGGACAATTAGAAGGGTTTCCAACTTGTGTCTCTTACCTGGCACCTCATTTGGAATGGCATAAAACAAGTTCGGGCTTATGATCTCTAAGACGTGGGCTTGCACGGTCTTGTTCACTGGCAGCTCCACCGTCCTCCACTGCTTGGCTGAAGGGGGGGCTGGCGAACATAGAAGACCCGGGTCTCGAGTGAGGCAGACAAAAGGTGACAGTCCTCCCTGGCTATAGATTTAATCAACCAACCAACCAATCAACCTCCTGGTCATCAGCCACTGATTCTCCGCAGGCAGTCATGCCCCACACCACAGCCCAGAAAGGTTCCCTCTATGGTGAGAAACCTTGACTCATCACCCTCCTGGGGGATCCTGAAAATCCGTCGGGCTTTAAGGACTGCTTCTGCCTGGTTCAAGTTCACTTGGTAAGTACATCAAAAATGAGCACAGCGTGTGCTTCATAGTGATAAATGGCTTTAACGATAAAGATTTTATAAATTGGCTCGAAAAGCCTACCAATCTATCTCTCTAGGAAAATCCTATTTAAGGTTAAGAAAACATCCAGAGCCCGTTAAAAAAATGAGCAAAAACAAAGGATAATATAATCCTAAACAAGTCCAAGGTGAAACCCATTACCCTGAGGCGAGTGGACGTCCCCCTGGGGGCCGCCCCGACTGGCAGGCCTGCTCCTGGGCCTGTCCCGAGCCGGGGAAGCAGAGATGGACACCTCCTCATCTCCCACCAGAACGTCACTGATGATTTTGGGGTAAGAAGTGGACAGGTCGGTGAGCTCCAGGCCCACTCCATCGTCCGTGATCTCCACCACTCTGGCGTGCAGCTTTGTCCCCATGACGCTCGCCTGGAACCTGGCCGTGGCGTCTTCCGTCCAGGGCTGACTCTTGGGCGTATCTGTGAAGTCACAAGAGCATCAAAGGGAATTCTCAACACAAGACCCAGGACCAGGACCAGGTCCTCGTCAGCTGACCACGCAGGTCAGCCATTCCGAGAACCTTTGTCTTTGTTCAACATGCAGCTATGTCCCTACGCCCTCCGTGAACTGCTGGCAGCGGGAGGGGGGCACAAACGTCTGCAGATTCGCACGCCACTCCACAGACAAATCCCAGCATGTCGTCAGTTCTGATTCGGGCCACCCTATAGAGCCGGGAGAACGGGCCCTGTGGATCCCCAAACCTGGAGATCCTCACAGGGCCAGCAAGCCTCACTGTTCCTCAGAGCGGCAGTGGGCTCAAAGGCCAGCAAGTAACCCGCTTTGCCACCAGGCTCCTCAGACCCACCACTAGGGGCATCCGTAAGGCTCAGGATCTTCCTTTACTTTCCTCAGGAATACAATTCACGGGGATTTCTCCAGGAGGCAACAGGATTATTACTCCTTCTCTGAGGACCACCAATGGGCAATGTTACACACCCAAGGATGGACCACCCCAGGCTGCCAAGGGTCAACTGTCTACTCTCACACTTCCCTTGTTTTTCCAAAACTCATTGCAAGTCGTCATTGGAACTGTCTTAACCAAAACTTTTTTTTCTTACCTAATTACCAGTTGGATAGCGTGGTGATTCTCAAACTCTGACTTTGGTCTGAATCACCAAGAGGGCTTGCCAAAACACAGAGTGGGTGGGTGGTGGTGTGTGTGGAGGTGGGGTGGGGGGCGGGGTCCCCCATCCTAGAGTTCCTAATTCAGTGGGTCTGGCACCTGGACTGAGAACTCTGCATTTTTTAATAAATCACATGTTGATCCTGCTGGTTTGCAGACTACATTTTGAGAAATAGACACAACACGGCAATTAAAAAACAAGAACTTTAAAAACCACCAACAATTAAAACATAATTACTGTTCAATAAGTAGAAAGGAAACAGAGTGCAAAACACAACCTGAAAAATGAAAATCTTTTTGCTTCCAGACATGACCTCCTCCATTAATAGCAATGGTTCTCATCCTTCCTCATGCCGTGACCCTTTCATACAGTTCCTCATGTGACCCTCCCAACCATAAAATGATTTTCGTTGCTACTTCATAACTGTAACTTTGTCACTGTTATGAATTGGGTGACTGCTGTGAAAGGATCATTCGACCCCCAAAGGGGTCACGACCCACAGGTTGAGACTGCTCATTAATAGTCTGGTCCCCAAACTTCCACACCACCTGTATGTGGATAGGGGACACACACACACACACAATTTTATCAAGGGGCATTTATCATGTCTAACTATAGACTACAAGTTTATAATAATTGTAGTAACTTTCTTAAGTCTAACTATGATAATGCCATTTAAGTGCTTGATATTTTTCAAGTCTCCTTTTGCTCCTTGAGGAAGGTACAATCATTCCCAATTTAAATAGCTGGTCTAAGGTCTCACGCCAGTAGGCAGCAGAGCTGGCTCCAGAGTCTGTGCATGCTCATTAATGCTCTCCCCGGTCTGTCTCCCTTGCTCTTTTCACTTAAAAATTCATGTCAGTCAGATATTTTCTAGCGTTTGAACCACTGTGCGGTAACAGCAAACAGGGAGGTAGGCCCTATTCTGGATAATCCTTTAACCCTCACAACCCAGGATGGGGCAGGCAGGATTGTTACTCTCCAGTCCCTGCGTCCTCACGGTCACCCAGATGCTGGGAGCGGCCATGCAGGTGGCTTTGCTGTTATCAACCACACCACAATGCACTTCCTTGTAGCTGAACTTGTGTAATTCCAGGAACACTTGACTCATCCACAGTAAAACTGCCAGGTAACCTGAGACCCCTCCCTTCAGGAATCGGGGCCATGCCTTCAAGAAGGGCGTTCCTTTTCAAGCCCCCAGCGTTTGCGCAGCAAGGTGGCTACTCCATCATTAACAATACTGGGCATTTAAGGTCAATAGCCTAAAAAAATAAAGTACAAGCCCTGAAAGTTCCGATTATCAAGCAGGATCTTCTAATTTACATGCAACCATAATGCAGCAGATACTGATGTGAGACATCAGCGACCTTACATGCCTGAGCAGACGGCTGAGAACAATCTTATTCTGCACCATACCTACTAACCAACACTGCAGCCCTTGAAACGGGAGCTTCAGAAACCGGGGAGGGATCTTCTGGAGCTCATGAGCAGTCACCTCTTCCATGTTGCCGTAATCCACAAAGTGCACCTTGGCGTGCCCGCTCGGCAGGACGTCCTTGACCAGAGCGCGGTACCAGTTGCCGTCACCTGGGGGCAGCAGAGAGACTGTCAGGTGCAATGAGGCCTTGCTTTTCTACAATGGACCCACCGTCTAGAGCAGCGAACCCCCACCCGCTTGCCCTCTTCTTCAGGGAAGCCTTTGCTTTGTCCGCCAAAGCACCCATGACACTTCTCAGATATCTACTGTCAGAACCCCTCCAAAAAATTCCACGGCCCCAAATTTCCAGACCTGATGCACATCAAAGATTCCATTCAGAACATAAGCAGTGGCGGGTGTGAAAGATTTGGCTCACTTTGCAACACTTGTCAGGCCGGGAAGATGTATACAACTCTGTACTACTAATGGCTCAGACGGTTTTACTCGCTAGTAAGGAGGCGAATATGAAAATAAATAGCTGAGATTTCTGCAATGTAATGAAGGCATTCCATCAAATGTGATCTTCAGAACACACACAAGCCCAAGAGTGGGCAGGAGAAAACCCAAGAGTGGGCGGTGGCTCCTTGCTAGGAGAGGGTGGAGGGAAGGGAACACAGACACCCGAGGCATTCACCCCATCTTGGCTGTGAATAATCAACTGCTCAAACTTCAGGGAGAAAACACACACTACAAGCAAGCTTCGGAGAAAGCCAAGACGCCGCCGGCGGCAACTTACCTGTAAAGAAGGCGCAGCAAGGCTGTCCTATTTCTGGCTTAAAGCCATTAGGCAACTTCTGCTGGCAGTATTCCGCGAGGGACTTGTTCAGCTCCTCGAGTTTATTTAAAGCTGAAATGTAAGGCGTATGCTCCATTACTACTGCGAACGAACAGGCAGCACACAGATGTTCCTTCAAAGCTGATCAAAGTGTCAGGCACGCCACCGAACAACGAGAGCACACATACAAAACGAGCTTCCTTTTGCCTTCCTGAACACTTTACTGGCCAAGGAAGCTGTTCCTCAATCCTCCTCAGCCAACCGCATGCCAACACTGACTGACAAGCCGGTGGCACTATGACTGGTGCCCAGGGCGGACAAGGGTGCAGTGGAGTGGTCCTAAACCTGGCTTGACGGGAGGAGAGGGTGGAGTTACCAGAGAACGCCACAGATCTCAAGTGCAGGCCCAAACTCGGGCGGAGGGTCCTCCCGGAGACGATGAAGTCTCCACTGATTTCCCGTGGACCGGTGACCAGGGACGTGGACGGCCGGCCCTCAGAGCGAGAACGGCTCACTGCTCACAGCAGGTGGACCCGACTCAGAAGGCGCAGACAGGGCTGGGCAGAACCACCCCTGTGGGTTTCTGAGACAGAACCTCTTTATAGGAGCAGAAAGCCTCCTCTTTGTCCCTCAGGGCAACCGGGAACAATCACTATGCCACCAGGGCTTTAATGCTGCTGGGATGAGGTTACAGGTCTTATCAATTGTTTTCCCTTTGACCTGTTTTTAACCTGTCCTGGTTTTCACTGTTGTCTGCTTTCTTTGAGACCGAGGTTTTTGTGTGCTTTGTTGCTGCTGCTGCGAGGGGAGGGGGAACCTGTGTGGCTTTCTTTCCACGAAATCCAGGAAAGGTGGTCAACCGTTACAGATAGTAACCAGATTAATAGACTTCTTAGGGTTATGACAGGGCACGTGGGGTGGGGGTGGGGGGGAGACTGGAGAGCCAATAAGAAGAGAGACAAAAAGGAAGAACATGACTGTGGTGATGACGGCACAACTCTTCTCCGCATATTCGTCCTCTTCAATTGCAGGGTATGCGCTTGACCTGTCAACCGAGCGGTGAAGGAAACAAAGTCCCAGTGCGGCACAGAGTGATGGGAGGAGAGGAGGGTCCCAGAGAGGGCACCATGCACAAGGAAGCCACCGGGGACTGGAGGGAAGGTGAGCCACTGAAAAGAAACCCTGGCCATGCTGCGCAGCCGCGAACCAGAGAGCTTGAAAATGCCCACGACGGGCAATGCTCCCACTGTGACTCGGTGTGTTCCGTGAGCATGGAGTGCACTCAGTGTTCTGCCTGTCTGCCACGGGCAGTGTGTACTACGTCCTATGTCGCAGTGTGTAATTGGTTATTGTTCTCAGCATTCAGTGACAAGATCAAATCAACCAGCTTAACCCTCGTATGAATCACCAGGGGGTGCGTCCGCACCCTTTACCCAAATCCCCTGCCATCGAGTAAGTCGGGCTCATGGTCATGGTGGACCCTGTCAGGTTTCTGAGACTGATTGTCTCAAGGCAGCCTCCTCTTTCCCTCAGAGAGCAGTTGGTGGGCTTGAATCGCTGACCAATATTTCGATCAGTAGCTCAATGCTAATCCACAGCACAACGGAGCATGTGTCTCCCCCACCCCCCCATGAGATCCTGCTACTTTACTCCCAGTGATACCCATGGGAAAGGCATGTGCCTATTTGTACAGGGATGTTTCCAGCACCATTGTTTTATAGCTTCCCGTTGCAGACAACCCAAATGATGGAGAGTACAGTGGAGCCCTGGTGGTAGAGTGGTGGCGAATAGGCAGTCATTGGACTGCAATCCAAATGTCTGCAATTCTAAACCACCAGCCACTGCTCAGGAGAAAGACGGGCGCTTCCTACTCCAGTGAACAGTTAGTGTCGGGTAACTCACAGGTGCCCCGTTCTACTCCGCTCTATCTGGTGGCCACGCATCAGAATTGACTCAATGGCAGTGAGTGTGATTTGGTTTGGCGTGGCTTGGAGAGGACGGGTGAACCAGGGTGGAATACTACACAGCATCATGATGAGCGCGCTACGGCTCCGTTGCAGAAGTGAAGGCTTAATCTCACGAGCCATGAGAAGGCAGGAGACAGGCCGAGGAGAAGCGTACACGTTCACTCGACGTGTAGAAGTGAAAAACGGGAAGGCTACTTTACGCTGTTAGAAGGCAGGGCCGTATTTCTTTCTGAAGGGACACAGGGTGGAGGTGGAGGTCACAGGAGATGTGAAGGAACCTTCCGGGCAACTTGCAACGCATTAGGGTGTGTTCACCAACTTAACGACAATGCTTTGCGTCTCGACCCAGAAGCTGGTCACACAGGTGCGCGCAGCTGCCTCTGTGGTCACGTCCCCACGCGGCAGATCACTGGTAACCGGTAACACAGGCTTACCTGGACTGAGTTGTGATTTATGCTGATGTGTGTTTACGAAAGGAAAGCATTCACTGGGAAGGGCCCACGTACCGTCGTCCTGCAGCACGTGGCAGTAAAACTCGGCAGGACTATAGATCACACACACCGCCACTTCCACTGTTTGGTCAAGAGCAAGTTCAACCCACGTCCACTCCTCCGCCAGGCTCGCTTTTGCTTCTACACGCAAAGGCACTGTGAAAAGAAACGGACGCTCTGCCAGACAGGTGGCCAGAGTGGTGGTGGGAGGTGGACACCGAAGGGCCTGCTTTCGAAGGAGAAATGAACTACCACCGACTTTCAGAGAAAACATTACCAGTCTTTAGAATTCATGGCTCGGACACCTGGCTGAATTTCAAAGTCTCATCTCCAACCGTTCTTCGGCTGCCGGTGATTCAGAAAACATTCCAAGTTTCAAAGCGCCTCTTAAGGGTACTTGGGGGTGGCGCTTGCTTTTATAAAGCAGGAGCCCCGGCCAGCATGTGTCTGGGGCTCTCTGAACTCCAGGGGAGCACCTGTCTGTCTGGAAGGCGTGGGACTTACCACAGGCATCCTTCAAGTCGCTGGTGTGACTGGTCACTATGTCCTTTCCTCCCACGGCAAAGCCCGCCTCGACCAGAACCCTGGCAACGCTGACATGGGGCGTCACAGAACGATCCACCAGCTCCACCAGAGAGCTGCTTTCCAGCTTGTCCACCACCGTCACTGAGATCATTTTGTTCTGCACAACTTTTTTCATCAGGCATGTAGCTTCTGGAGTCCAGATTCCCAAGGATGGCTTCACTCCTGGCAAAGAAGTTTTCAAAAGATGGTAGACGCAAGCGCGTGAGGCATGTAGCTCCTCAACCCAGGGTCAAACCCAAGAACTCCAGGACAGGCTTTAGAACTGAAACCTCCTACCTGCGTGTGTATGTTTACATACATAAATCTGTGTAAAGCTTACATACGAGGGGACACCGAAACAAAACAGATGGAAAAGGCTCCGCTGGGTGGAGCTTTTATAGTATGAGTTTTTCCCGCCATGTGAGCACCCAGTAGCGTCACCTAGGAAGATTCTCTCTGGTCACATTGAATTTTTCCGTAAAAGCAGTTTCACTCAAACCTTGTTTTTCATGATGGCCGACTTAAGAGAACAACACGCGGCTGTGACATTGGGTCCCTGCTCTGAAAAAGTGCTGCAGAAACTGCCGCTGATGACGAACACGCACAGCGCTATGGGGAAAACTCAGGTGTAGTTCTTCTCGTTTCAAAAAAGGTGAAATGTCGATCAATGACAAACCTTGTTCTGGACGACTGTCAACTTCCCAAACAGATGAAAATGTCAACAAAATCCATGCACTTGTGCTCAAGCAAGTGCACAAACCTAACCACATCCTGCAAGAAAGGATCTGAGGAAAGGCTCTGTGGCATGCGGCCCCAAAACTCAGAACTGCCCTCCGATGGGGGGTACCAGGCAGTCTGCGGGACTCAGAACTGCCCTCCGATGGGGGTACCAGGCAGTCTGCGGGCACTTGAACGGGCACGGGAAGCCTGAGTCCAGTGGGCAAGCTATAAACTAGGGGGGTCCAAAAGTATCACCACACAATTCTAGCAGCCTTTTCTAAGCAAGTCTGCACGCTGCAGGCAGCGCGTCCATCTCTCTAGGCCGGCCCTGCATATTTCCATCACGTCAGTTTACACCACTGCAAACTGGCAGCTGAGATGCCCTCCAGGGACTCAAACCACATGAGTTTTAAGCGTTCTTTGGGTTTGGTGAACAAAAGGGAGCCTGAAGGCAGGGCAAGGTCAGGGCTCTAAGGTCGGAGAAGTAAGGGTTCCCAACAAAATTATCATAGGACAGCCCTTACTGCCGTTGAAGAATATGCACATCAAAAAGCTCAGCTTACTGTCAACATCAAGTCACCGTGCCCCACAGTGACCCATGAATAAGTAAGTCGTCATGGTCAGGACGGGGGGAAATTTTCTTGGCGCAACTTCTCTTGACTTTTTTTCACCAATGCAGTTGTCAATCTTCTTAAACCTATTTCCAATATGCCCTGCCCACGTGCATCCAGTCTCCTAAGGGAAATTTTCAAGACAACACCTCTGGATTCCCTAAAAACAGTTGCCATAACCTCTGGAGCTGATCCCTCTGCCTTGGACGCAGCCGCCCCACAGTTCCTTGGGACTCATCCCGTCATGCTGCGCTCCAGGAAACCGTCGTTAGCTTCCCTCTTGCTTAAAAGGGAGAGACAGAGCAACAGGTTCCTTGAGCCAGCCGACTTCCTGAAACACTTTTACTTCTTATTGGAGAGGGGGCTTCAAAAATGTCATGCAAGGATAACTGATGTTCCCACACGCTTTCTACAGACCCTTGGTACCTCCGTAAGTTCTAAGCTCAACATTAACGTGCATTCTTGCTTTCTAAGCAGGATTATTTCCCATACTTCAGAATCTATTCATGTCAGATTTACCATTGATTCTCTAAACATACAGAAAACAGGAACTCTTCAATGGCATGACTCCTGGGCACATCACCTCTATTACAGAGAGAAAACAGACATGCTGCCTTCCCAGATGTATTGTAAGGATTCATTTTGCTCAGGGTAATGATGTTAAGAATAAAGGGACCATAAAAAACTGCATACCTGCCAGCACACACTTTATAGCTTGCATTGGTAGTTCCAACAACTTTGGAGTGATGGGGCACAGTCTTGTCAAACTAAGGATCTCAAAGTTTCCATAGTCCACATAGCCAACCAGCACCGAGTCTTCAGAAGCATAAGCCAAAACAGAGGCCCGGTACCACTGATCATCCTCTGGAAAGAGAAAAACCCAGCCTCAGGGGCTTGTCCCACCGAGGGAGAAGCATACACGGCTCTCAGGCTCAGTGGCGGCCACCTGCACCTGTTATTTTCATTCAACACCAAGCTTTGCAGAATGGCGAGCATCTGCCTGGCGCTGTTGTGTGCTCGCGCCAGAGGCCCACCGCCACTCCCAAAACGTAACCCGTATTCACACCTTATGACTTCACTACTTGCGGCGAGGGCTGTCATGGTTCATTTACACGCCTCGGCTCCCTCCCTTTGAGACAGCTAGCTCATTAGGACAGAGAGCTTGCCTGGGTCATGTGACTCTCCAAAGTCCTGATCAGTAAATAAGCCATTTGCTAAAGCATCCGGCAGGGCTGATGCACAGTGCCTGGCAGGAGGGATCGATTAGATGCCACCAGCCAAGCCATCAAGTTACTGGAGGTTAACTTGTGACCTCTCCTTCTGCGAGGCCATAGGCATCCTTTAGCAAAGACTAACAGAGGGTTGTTCTCACAAGGCAAGACCTGAGCAAACACAGAGGCTTCACCAGGACAGCACGACGTTTCCAGGAAAACCATCATGCAGGAGCCTAGAAGGTTCCACAGCTCCACATTTATGTGATTAGGATAATTATCCGTACGAAGGGTGTATAAAATGTTAACTACCTTTCAGACTCCCTTGACATTCACAGGCCCCTCTGGCCTTAACACGCATCACACTACTCCTTTGACTCGGCCTCCCCCTACCCACCCCATTTAACTGGACAAATTTAAAAACACCATTGATGCACATTAATGCTAAAGCTTCAAGTGCAGCCATCTGAGGTTAAGTGGAGATTCTGCCCGTTGGTGGTTACTCAATTCTAAGCCATAAAACTAGGAACAGAACTAGCCAATGATAAATGCAGAGTCGATTCTCAAGATCTGTTTTTCTGGTTGGGTAACGAACAAGTAAGGGCAATCCACTACCAACCCAAAGGCTGGCGCTTTCCACCCACCAGCGGGATCTGTCTGCTTTACAACTTTGGAAACTATCCCAGCAGGTTCTGCTCAGTCCCGCTGAGTCAAACTGACCCGGCTGCAGAGTTGGGCTTGGGAATGAATGAGAGACCCATCATCACCTCTCTCCTTACCTGAGAACTGAGCACAACAGATGTCACCGATGGTTGGGAAAAAATCACCGCGTGGAGACAGTCGGCCACAGTACTCACTAAGGGATGCCTGAAGTTCAGCAAGCTTATCTGCAAATACAGATCACAGCTTAAAACAGACCGCGCACACGGCTAACAGCAGCACCTGCCTTTCTGCACCCGGAGACTCACGCGTCAGATGCCTCAAGAGAACTAAAAACGTCTACTCACGGCCACTTTGCAGCTGTTGACAGAAGAAGTCCTCCGGAGTTTGAATGTGGGCCACCACACCACAAAACTCTTCCCCAACGTTCAAAGTCAACACTTTGGGGATCAAGTCGTGCCGGTCGACCACCATTTGGTCTTCAGCTGACCCGTTGCCGGCGTCTTCACAATCATCTTCTCAGAAAACGGAACAATTTAAGAGTAGTCATCTTGTTTTCACGAAAGTTACATCGAGACCACGCCTCCACCTCACACACCACCCCCTGGCTCCTCACCCACCCCCACCCCCAAAAGGACACACATGCTTGAACTGTTTGGGAAAAAAGACCAGCCAAGATTCTTGGACACAGGCTGGTTGGAGGTGTTTCCTCCAGAAATACTGATGCTTAGAGCAAAGGTTGACTTCTTCACCACCAAGCCACGGACTGGTCCCAAACAGACGAACTGCATCGAACACAAACTCAGCTCTAATTTCAAAGTTCGGTAACACAATTGTTTGAAGTAGTGCTTCCCAAAGTGGGAGATCCTGCTCGGAGCGGTGGGTGGGCTGGGGGTGCTGGAATGATCCGGGGGCTGGAAAAGCAGATTCCTATATATCCTAGAGGATGGGCTGTAGTATAACCAGGGAGGCGCCAGGTAATTTCTTTTCCCCCATGAAAAGGCGGGGTAGGCCTAATGAGTTTGGGAGCCCCCACTGTTACTGTCGGGAAGTAAGGTGTGGCAGCTACATAATGTCATGTCAACTTAAAGAGATGAACGTGTAGGGCTGGGTGCCAGGCTGTTGATCAGGTCACAGCCTATGGTGCCTCCTGTGGGCATGGCCTTCTCATAAGGAGGGTCAAGGGAACCTCCCCCTCCCTCTCTCTGCCCTCACCCCCTTGTTGACAAGCCACGCTGAGACCTGTGTTAGCCCTGTGACGCGGCCACCACATTGGATCCACAAGACGTGGCACCCAGCAGCCTGTGATCGTCCTGTCTTCTGCATCATTGCATGTGGCTTCATTGCATGAAGAGGAATCTATAGACTACTCTCGGACTGATAGAGGTAACAGACTGATGGACTTGATTTGGACTGGGCTGGGATGTTTTCCTGATCAACAATTACCTCGTGATAGAAAGCTCTTTCTTACTCATATGTGAATGTCACTGGGTTTGTTTCTCTAATCAACCCGGACTACCACATAAGGGGGTAAAGATGCTACTCAGCTGAGACAAAGGCCAAGGTTGTTGTTTTCACAGACTTAGAAGGAGAAGGTGACCTAGACCATGACAGAAAGGCTTAAGAACATGACCCTCACCCGACAGTCTGATTCTCCGACAAGCGCAAGGGGAACTCTGCCGGACCACACACCTGGGGGAAAGCTGCGACCTAGGAGCCACCTCTGGCGAGGTCCAGATGGTATGTTCAAAGTCTCACCCTGCCAAGCAACCGAGCCAGAACACTGGCCACAGACGGTAAAGGTACTACAGAGAAACTAAAATTCAAAATGTCTTCTGAAGGCACTTTAGAAAATGAAAATGCGTGTGGGTAAGGATAAAGAAAAACGAACCATTGCTTCCTAGTCAAGGATGCATGAGTGCTAAACTGCAGTGGGGGTGGGGGTGGGGGGGCGACCAGGCCCCCGCATTGAGCTTTGGGGTAATCCACTGCCCCTCCTGTCAGTTTCTGTGGCTTCATGTGTAAAGTCATTCTATAGAAGCAATTAATATGGGCCCTTATAGCCATAATTCCTTATGGAATATAATTCTGGACTCTATATACCTGTGGCTGATTTTGGGGGGCATTTGCTATCATACGAACGGGCAGCTTTAGGGTTGGATTGAGACCTGTGCTTAGTAGTGAGCGTAAATTAAGCCACATCCTTTGTCTCCGTGGGGGCACTCTGAAGACCCCACCTTAGTGTAAGGTGTGAACCCAGCTACCTTTGGTTGTGTAGGGGCATCTTTGACTCTTCCTTCGTAGAAGTGTGGCTTATGACACCAGCCTTTGTTATCCTTAGAGATACGCTGGGACGACTGCCCAGTTCTCATGCACATCGCCTCACCTGGAAAGCCAGCCGTTTGTTGACCAGAAACCCATCGGATGAGCTAAGGGACGGAGGGGAGGTGGAAGCAACCTCCATGAGAGCAGGCACTCTCCAACCCTGCCCCCACTCACGGCTCACCAAGAGCAAGATGAAGACGTCTACCCAGAGAGCCATCGGTGAGGAGAAGGCAGCCCGCACGAGCCAAAGACAAGCTCAACTGCAGGCAGCACCATTGCCTGCTCTCTCTCTCTCGTGTCCGCATTAACTGCAAGACCAGAGACACGACGACACAAGGAATGTAGAAGCGGCACGATCCTGCTAGAAGGGAATGTTATGACCCTGCTGATGACTGCTTCCGCATGCTGCGATATCCCAGGAAGGAAAACAAATACAACTGAGGAAATGTCGGCTGAACAGCCCTCCAGTTAAAGTATCGTGAAATTGTACTACTTTCTAATCTGACTGCTACCGTGTCAAGGGCTCATTTCTTTGGAAAACAACCAGAGGAGGTTTACATTAGAGATTGTGGTATTACTAAGAGGGATAGGGGAGGGAGCGATGACAATACAGAATTTACACAATAGTCAACAATGTCATTAAGCCCGAGAGTGAGGCAGTCCTGCTCTCACCACCACTGAGGAACCAAAAGCTCCATGCTGGGGGATACCCACCACCCGGGTACTCACTCTGATCAGCACCCTGCGGCATGGGTTGCAGGCCATATCCCATCTCGACAAGTGCACGGTCTAAGGGTTTTCCTAGAAAAAGAGTAAGGAGATGCATCTCTATTGAGCCATGACCCAGAGGGTGTCAGCACGGGCAAGGGAGCAAACGAGGCACAAGCACCTCCCCTGACCATGGTCACTGTTAACACACTAGCGTGCCTCAACCCAGTCTAGTTCACGTTCTAGTTTTGAAATACAGTTTAACAAGGCCCAATTGCAAAGAGGGGCAAGCAAAACTCCCCTCATCGCTTAGGAGAAATGCTCATGAAAGGAGGCCTCTTCAAAAACCTGAAGACCGGAGCCCGCACACTCGGAGGGACCTACAGTGTTGAGAGAAACAAGGCATTTGAAGCACAAGGCTACAAACAGCATGGCTGGAGCACTGGCCACGCCGTTCAGCTCTGGGAAAGAAGACGCCAAAGCTGAAGCGCGATCCTGAAACACACACAGACACTGGATTTCACCAATGGGATCGGCTGCTTTGTCCAACAGCCCACCCGGACACCAGGCGTCTGAGAGTGGAGGGCGACGACTTGGAAATGGAGAAAAGCCGCTTCTCAAACGGCCATGGAGCCCAAAGGGACAAATGCGATCCCCGAGAGCTGCAACTCACGACAACCCAGACATGCTGTGCTGCAGTCTGAAGACTGAGCAGAGGCCGTTTGGTGAGGCTACTGTGAGACAAGGCGCGGGCGATAAAAGAGTAAAATTAACGACAGGGACTAACTGATAGAGAAATGTTTCAACTCCTCTCAGGAAAGGGGGAAAAACGGTCAGAGATCTTCTAAAGGCCCCGGTGGTGTAGTGGGCTGGGCACTGGAACCCCAGGTGCTCCGAAGGAGGACGACGAAGCTGTCCACCCCTGTAGACAGTTCTACTCTCTCCTGTGGGGCCCCCGAAAATCAGGCGGATGGCGGGGAGTGCACAGCCGATTCCAAGTCCTGGTTGAGCCACGTGCTGCAGGGGAACATGTGCTTCTCAGGGGATTCGACGCTGTGACCTCACGGCAAGAGGCCATCTCACCCTTCTTCCAACACAGCCCCTGGAGACGCTCAGAGGGCTACCCTTCCGCTTTGTCATCACGCGCTTACACTGATGCTCCCACCCCCAGGAGCTCCCACCTCTAAAGGCGCTATGCAAAGGACATCCTAGCTATGGCCATACTAAGCCCAGGGGAGTGGTCTGTCTCAGCCCCTCCATCTCCGACACAGAGCCCATTGAAAGAGAAGGCATGTATCATCCACACCTTTAGTCACGATCTGACTGACTCCAAGTCAGAGGCCCAAGTTGGCTTCACTTTGTGGTTCGACTTCTCCTCTGAAGAACCGTTAAGAGGGAGTCAAACCACAAACTACACTCACGGCCACTGAGTCACATCCCACTCACTGCGGCCCGTGGGGCAGAGCAGAACTGCCCCCTCTTTACAGGGTGAGAAAGCCACGTCTTTCTCCAGGCGAGAGGCTGGTGGTCTCCAACTGTTGGCCTTATCATGGCGTAACCACCATGCTGCCACCAGGGCTCCTCAGAGAGAGATGAGACAACAAATTAGTCACTCAATGCAGAGACGGCCCCAGCGCTTACCAGAGCTCAGCAGCTTCAAGTCAACGGCAAAGGCCAGCGTGTCCTCTTGCAGGATGTCCACAATCTTTACAGAGCAGTACTGCTCCATCAACAGCCCTCGGATGGTCCTGATGCAATCGATGCTCCAGGTCCCATCTGCTGGGACAACGCTGGCCACAAAGCACTTTATAGCCTGAAAGGTTTTTTACAGGTTGCTGGTCGCGGAAACGATCAGCTACAAGTGGTTCTAAGTTCTAATGACCACGGTGGAGAGTTTTCAACACAACCGACCCCGTGCTGACAATTTATGAAAGTGCTTCAAGCATTAACTATTCAGCCGAATCATTGTTGGTGCAATTATTTGTCCCTCTCTGGGCACGCTGGCCACAATGCTGACTTGGGGGGAGGGGGCTGTTGGAGACTTGAGAAATTCGTGAGAATTGACCTTCAATCCCCCATCAACTCAGGTCACTTCAATCATGGCTATCAGCACAGAAGTGGTTGGTCGGTTTGCTCGTTTTCCAGAGTAGTCGAATAAGATGCGCATAAAAATTGCTACTAGCTTCCCAACTGACACAGTACTGAACTGGACAGAATGTGATAAACAGGGAGCCCAGAGTAGCCCTGGTAGAAATGATAGCACCAGGTACTTCTTGAGCAATGGGGGCAGGACAGAACAAGCCCAACGGGCTGTCTAGCCCAACACTTAAAAACCAACCACTCCTGTGACGCACGTCAAGTCCCGGGGGAAGGCAAGAGGGACTCACGCAAGGAGGAAACAAGTCGATGTGTCGGCTGAGTGGGTGGATTCTGTTCACTGGGATGACTTCCTCATTCCCATAATCAATGTAGAGGACTCGGGCCTTCTTCTGCAGCATGTCAACATCTTGGATTATTACTCTGTTCCAGGTCTACAGGGGAGGTGAGATTATTGTAATCTGCTTCCCAACAGCATGGCAACAACTTACACCCCCTGCCAGCCAGTCCATTCCAACCCACAACAACCCAATGTAGGGTTTTCTAGGCTCCAAATCTTTATGGGAAGGGAGCAGAGCGCCGCATCCCTCACAATCTCAGGTTACACCACCAACCAACATGGGGAAGAAGGGCTATGGGGTTCTGTGCTAAGGCACTCAGCTTAAGAGCCTAACTCTTGTTTACAGAAGAGCTTGCCAGGAAATCCCTTAAATCTGTCTGACGCCTTCACAGACACACCGTCATTGCAGCAAGGTCAACAGCTTGAACCCATCAGACATTGTGAAGGCGAAGGATGAGGCTTTCTGCTCCCATGCAGATTCACAGCCCTGGAGACCGTAGAGCGCAGTCCCGCCCTGTCCTACAGGGTCACTATGAGTTGGCATGGACCCCATGGCAGTGGGTTGCGTTGTTGTTTTGGTAAGGCGGTGTCAGAGAGGGCAAGAGTTGGGGTGGTGGTAGGGGAGAGTAGGGCAGGGAACCCTGAAGACGAGGCCGAAGAACGCAACCGATCTGGCTTTTCCGCTATCTAGATGCTGGGGTCGATAAGCTGTTATGGCCACGTTAAGTGAAAGCACTTCATGAAACAATGTGGCTCCTTAGGGGATACCTGGTCGACGGTGTACTTGGCGACACAGACTTCGCCCTTGACAGGAATGTAATCTTCCTCCAGCAGACTGGCGTACATCTCTTTCAAGCTCACAGAAAGTTTGTTCATGTATTCTAAGATTTCGGAAGAATACATCTGCACATAGAAGTCACTTGGGTTTTTGAATTCAGTGATTGTGCCCTTTCAAAGACAGAAAACATGGAGTAATTCACTAGGAAAAATACAGTAAATATCATACAAACAAGGTATGAAAAAAAGGGTTAAGACACTTACCCAGACATATCCAATAGCTACCTTAAAACTTTTGTTAAAGACAGGAAAGGGAAAATAAAACATCTACAGTTCTTTGGATTTCCATGGCAGTAAGACAAATACCTTGATTTCCATAGATTTCCTGAGCTGTAGACTTCTCAAATCCGAAAACATGATTTTCTCAGCACAAGGAGCTATCTCTTTAGTAAGTCCCAATGGATTGTCATCCTGTTTTAGACAAAGAGCACCTCAGTGAGCTGTGTGTCAACGTGTGTCATCAATGTCACTACAGCCACTATGTGATGGGCTTGACTTAGGAGAGCACAGGGCAGTAATGGAGTCCGACACCCACTAAAATCCACTGTCAACAGGCAGGTAGTGTGCAGTGCCGAAGCTCAGCCCAACCAACAGGCAAGGGTGCTGGTGCTCCTGCTGTGTTTACACAAGAAGGAATGACAGCCCTTATATATGCACTTGCTCAACTCTGTTTTAAACACAAAGCTTAGAAGACATAGGTACAGAAGGCCTAAAAAACTCATCGATACGTAGGAACTGGGCAGATTATACAGTCAGACAGATGCCGCCCACATAACCATCTGGCTGGAGAAGCACAGTGAGTGGAAACAGGCCTCTGTGGACAGACAGGTGAAGGGACACCACTGGGAGTTCCGTGCACAGAACTAGACTTCTGGGGCCTGCAGGGACTGCAGCAAGCAGGGATCACTGAACCATCATGACGCCATTTCCATTGGGACACAGCCATCTCAAGGCCTGTTTGGGGCAAGGCCAGAAATAAACAATTCTCAAAGGCCCTAAGAACTCAAAAAAGCAAAATCACTTCCTTCGAATCGATTCCAACTCATTGTGACCCTACAGGACAGGACAGAATGGCCCCCTGTGGGCTTCCAAGGCTGACACTCTTCAGGAGAATAGAAAGCTTAGTCTTGCTCCCTCAGAATAGCTGGTGGTTCTGAACTGTTGACCTTACGGTTAGGTTAGCAGCCCAAAGGGTAGCCACTAAGCCACCAGGAGTCAATAAACACAAGCAACAGGTTGTGCAAGGGTCATTCCACAGGTAACCTTTCACCGATAGGTACTGGTGAAAGGTGAAAATGAGTGCTAGAAATGCTACTTCACTGAACTACGCTAAGAGCCTGACATTTTGCTCTTAGGACAATGAGGAAGCCAACCATACCTCAGTTTTCATTTCCATGTTCTTTGCTTCAAAAGGTACATTATTGTCTTCAGGTTTGTGGACACTGGGGGAATAAACAAACAAAAAACCCTGATAATAATATTCACCATAGCAAGAGTCAATTAGGCCTAGGGGCCATAAACCACGATTATGATTCACAACAGCTTCCTAAAGTATTGGGCTGCTCACTTCCAAGTAATACACTTGGTCTATATTTCAATAAACCCACGGTCAGTGAGTTGATGCTGACTCCCAGCCGCCCTAAAGAAAACCCCAGAGGCTTTCCAAAGTCATAAATCTTGATGGAAGCAGTTCGCAGCCCAATGGTTAACCCACTGCTAACAGTAGGGCTCCTCTGTCTCAGTAAATAGTAATTTAAAGAATATAACTTCCACATAGTTTTAGGATCTAGTTTTAATGGATATGATTGATCCTCTTCCTATATTCTCATATGAAAACAAATCAATCAATCACACGTGCTTTCCGACAAACAAGGGACACTCACTTTTGCTGCACGGGTTTGCACACGATGCTGTGTGCCGACCAGTCTCTCCGCTGACAGGCGATGGAGCAGTAGTATGTTTGCTTGCACTGTGAGCACCTCAGTGACCCTAGAGGACACAAGCCAGAGCATCATCAATGCGTCACGCCAAACAGGTGCGGTCCAGTTTTCCCATGACCAGCCACATCGCCACCATTCTGTCGATCACACCCCACATGACCAAGGGAAGAGAACTGTGCGGTCTGTGATAAGGTACTTTCCTAAAACCTCAGGAGAGAACAGAATCAGGATTAAATTTTTCAACACTCTCTTGAACTACGAGGGGAAAAAGGAAGGTCAATGTGCACAGAAGAGGGAGAGAGATGGACAGGGAGGGGTCCTAATGTTAATTGGCTCTTGGCTGAAACACAAGCTACAAAGGGAATGATGACCCATGCACCCTGTACCTCACACTATCTACCAAAAATCAAATCAAAATGCATCAATGACCCAAATGGTGCATACAAATCTTCATGGCTTTGGATTTGGCCATGGATTCTAAGATGCACTCTACTACTGTTTGCCTCCGAGTCCGTCCTGACAGTGACTCCATAGGACAGAGTGGAACTGCCCTTGTGGATTTCTTTCCCCTGTGGAGTTGCTGGTGATTTTGAACTGTTGACCTGGTGGTTAGTAGTCCAATACATAATGCCCACTATGCCACCAAGACGCCTTTGGGTTCTAAGAAAAGACACCCAACTCACAAGCAGTGAAAGCAAAAGGAACTGGACTTTGTTCCAATTAATACCTCTGTGCGCATAAAAGAGCATTATCGAGAGACTGAAAGACAGTCTATAAATGGGAGAAAATAGGTGCAAATCATGTGTCCTCATAAGGATTAACACCCAGAATTTATAAAGAACTCCGGCAGTCCAACAACAAAAGATCAACAACCCCATTAAAAGATGAACAAAAGACCTGACAGTTCTTCAGAGAGGATGTACCAGTGGCCAGTCGGTCCATGGAAAGATGCTCAATGTCACTAAGGCGATGGAAATGTCAATCAACACAGTGAGATACAACCTCGCACCGACTAGAATGGATTATCACAAAGAAGGGGAAACAGTGATTGAGGGTGGGGCCGGGGAGCAACCGGAACTGCAGTGCATGCCTGCTGAGAAAGTAAGATGGCACAGGCACATTGGGAAGAGTTCAGTGGTACCTCAGAGTCTCCAATTCTGGCAACTCCGAAACCCCACGCCTGTGTAGAGATCCAAGAGCCCTGGAGGCAGACTCACGCCTGTGCTTGTACATGCATTGCTCACTGGAGTGGGGCTCACACAGCCAGCACACTGCAGACACCCCAAGCTACCCCTGGGTACAAGCATCAACACAATGTGGTCTATGTACCACAATGGAGCATTAGTTCATCCTAAAGAAAAGTGGCGTCTTGATCACGTGTGGGGACTTTGAAAAGTTCATGGAAAATGGAATTTTTGAAGCACTCTCACACATTAGAACATGGAAGAACCTTGAGTGGAATAAGCCATGCACAAAAGGACAAGTGTTGCAGGACCCCACTTACAGTGGGTAACCCCCTGCCCCAAACCTGGTATTTTTCCCCCAAAGCTATGTATTTAAATTTTTTACAAAACAACCTTATCACCTTCAAAATACTCTCCACTACACTTAATACATATGTCAAATCTGTGATTCCATTCTTGGAAACATTTTTCAGACTCATCTGTTGGGACAGCTAACTACCTCCCTCATGTTTTCCTTCACCTCTTCTAAGCCGTAAAACTGCTGTCCCTTCCTGTCCCCCTCTGCAACCTCGGAAACAAAAAGGTCCCATGGAGCGAGGTCAGGCGAGTCGGACAAGAGAGGCATGCTGGTTTTTGTAAAAAACTGGCTCACTGAGATGGTTGCGTGAGCAGGTGCATTGTCGTGGTGGCAAAACCAGTCCCCCATCTGCCACCAATCAGACCTTTTTTGTTATGCAATCTTTTCAGAACCTCTAAATATAAAACTTGATTAACAGTGTGATCTGGTGGGACAAACTCCAAATAAATGCACCATTCCTGAGGTAGTTAGTTTATTGTGCCAACCTGGCCAATAAACATGTGGGATTAATTGAAGGGCGGAGAGATCAATGGCTCAGTGAGCCTCGCCTTTCTTGTCTCTCACTCTTTGATCATTGGACCAGTGTGCCTCAATTTTCAAGCTACACTACCTGTGGGACACCTAACCCGTGGACTGTGTTGCTGTAATTTGAGGTTCCTTCAAGACCTGCTTCGCCACACAATTGGAATTTACATCTCTTGAGCTGGGGACTGATTGTTGGTGACCTGACTGACTGTTGCTGACCTACCTAGCAGTTTGCTGCCTGTGCCGGGATAGCCTGCATTGCTCTACAGAGAACTACCTGGCGGCCCTCAAGGCTTGAAGGACTGCCAGTGTCTCACAACTATCTCCCGGGAGTGAGTTGCACTGAGCCATTGGTACTTACTGCTTTATAATTTAACGGTTTATTTCTTGTGTTATATATGTATCTATCTGTGTGTGTGTATGTATAAAATTAATAGCAATCTGGTTTTGTCTCTCTAGAGAAAACCCTAACACAATTCCCCTCACATAAAAAAAACCCACCCAAATCAAGTGACATTATCTTGATCTTTCATTTCACTTGATGAGCTTTGGGGGGGGGGGCAGGTGAAGATGCCTGCTCCACTGGCTTGATGGATGTTTTTCTTTGGGGTCCTAAGAATAAACACCATGTCGCCTCACCAGTAATAACCTTGGGGGGAAAGTCGACATTGTTGCCTGTTCATGAAGTTGACAGATGTCCAGAATGAGGTTTGTCATTGGACATTTCACGTTTGTTGAAACAAGAAAAACACTCCTACACTTAAGTTTTTCCCATAGTGCTGTCCTTGTAAACTGTTCGACAACAGCAGCAGTTTCTGCAGCATTTGTCCAGAGCAGGAACCCAATTTCATTGCCATATTAAATCGGCCATTAAGAAAATCGAGGTTTGAGTGAAACCACTTTTACGAAAAAAAAAAACAACCAATGTGAACAGAGAAAATCTTCCCAGGCGACACCATTGGGTGTACTGACGCAGAGCAAATTACTAGATCAGCGGTTCTCCACCTTACTAACGCCGGCAGCCCTTTGAAACAGTTCCTCATGTTGTGGTGAGCCCCTGCGGCCCCCCCCCAACCATAAAATTAGTTTTGTTGCTACTTCACATTGTCATTTTGCTACTGTTATGAATTGGGTGACCCCTGTGAAAGGGTTGACTCCCAAAGGGGTTGCGATCTACAGGTTGAGAACCACTGTGTTAGATGGTCACCTAGTAGTTGGGGGGAGTGGGGTACACGTACTATGAAAGCTCTGCTCAGAGATTTTTTTTCCAGTTTTTTTTGGGGGGTACCCCTTCATATATGAAATATCTAGCATAGTAACTGAGTAGAGATAGAGATTAGTCATTACCAGGTTCTTGTAGGAAGAGGAAATAGAAAATTACTGTGCACAATGTTCATAGTGATTTAAAAAAAAGTTCGGAAAATACTGTGGTGCTGATTGCATATTATGAATGTAATTAACAGCTGCAAATTGTGCACTTAAATATGATTAAAATGCAAACTCTGTTATATAGATTTTATCACCATGAAAAATATTAAAGGATCAAATGCAACAAAACTATGTTACAGTCAAACGGATTTGAGCAAGCAGATTTGTGCAAAAATAGTTCTCTGTGTCAATAAAAGACTTACTAAAGAGAACCATACATAGATAAGCCCAGGAAGTTTTTGAAATAAAAATTCTAAAAAAAAGAAAGAAAGAAAGAAAGAAATCAGTATCAAGGCAGGAAAGGGGTGCGTGGGAATAAAAGCTAATCAAAACCCTCAAACAAAATCAGGATGGTCTCAACTGCTTCCATTGAGGAAATAAACAAAGGCGGTAAAACCCAATGACCTAGTAACTGCATAAATAATTGCTTGGAGGAGCCTATAAATTAAAAACCAAAATGAGATACCACTACACACAAGGGCTGTAATTAAAACAGCAGGTGCTGACAAGAATGTGGAACTAGAACTCTCAAACTGCCAATGGGGATACAAAACAGGACCATTATTTTGGAGAATGGCCCGGCAGTGTCCTATAAGCACATATGTAACGAACCATCCTTTGACTCAGCAATTTTATGCCAAATGTCCCCAAGTCCACATGATGATGACGACGTGTGCATCGATGATGAGTTCAACCCATTACCACCCAAAGCTGGATACAACCCAGACGATCACCAACAGGCTAGCAGACACTGTGGCATCATTATGCGGTGTCATCACTCACTGTCATCGAGCCGATGCTAGCTCACAGCCACCTTACAGGACACGGCTCTGAGACTGACTCTCCACGAGAGTGGAAAGCCTGGTCTTTCTCCCTCAGAGCCACAGGTGATTTTGAATTGCTGACCTTGTGGATCGCAACCCAACTCACAACTGCTGTGCCACCAGAGCTCCCATACCATGTAATCATATTCAGAGATTTTTTTTAAAAAGGTGTACGATGCATGCAGTAACGTGGTTGAATCTCAAAAATATTATTCTAAAAACACAAAGCTTTACTGACAAGTACCCGTGCTCTATGATTCCATTCATATGAAATTGTATGACAGGCAGGAAGAACTTACAGGGGGGCCAACAAAAGCAGCACGGTGATTACCTTTGGCAGGTGCAGGGGCTGTGAAGGAGCATGAGAGAAGTCCCTGAGAAGATGGAAATGTTCCTATGTCGGCAAGGGGCAGGGATGTGCATTTGTGCATTTAGGTGCCTGTGAAGTTTTACATCGAGAAAAGAGGGCTTCTGAAAACAGCAGTGTTGGGAAGGACCGGTAGGAGAGCAAGCTGTTAAGGCGTGGGTGAAAGCAATGGCCGTGTTCTGGCAGCCACTGGAGCTGGGAGCATGAAGTCCATACGCCAAACCTGTCTACACTTCGTTTCCCATTTCCCATAATACGAAATTAACACAGAGGGAAATCATCCAACAGACTTTCTTTGCTTACCAAACAGGCCACAGCGATGGCAGGTGGTGGGCCGAAGAGGAGGTCCTAAGGAGTTGAAGAGCGCCGGGTTGTTCAAGGACAAGGACTTTTCAATCAACTTGCTGGCTCTTTTGGACTTTGTGGGAGGCACAGCATTGCTAGGCCTCTGTGAAGACGAGAATAGCAAGAACAGCACTCAGTAGTAACTTCACACCACCACCTCTCCATGCAGAACTGCTGCCGCCAGGAAGGGGAAGGAAACGTGGACCTTTCCCCATTTCTCCCACCGAGGGCAACCACACACCCTGGGCTCTGGCATGAAGCAAACTATAGGGGAGCGAGGAAAGCAAGCTCCCGATGGGCATCCTGGGGCCCAAACAACATGGTGGTGAGCTGACTGAGCTTTCTGTTTTTGCCAAGGTTGCCAAAGATTGGCTGCGGGTTTCCAACCTCTGACTTTGGGGAACACACAGCCCAAAGCAGAACCACCGTGCCACCAGGGAAACGCACATTAGACAGTCCATGAAGTATACTGTACGCCTATGAGAACTGGGTACACCAAAACGCCAGCATTCACTGCCAACAAGCATGCAAAGACACTGGTTCATTCTTAACTACTGATGGGGCCAACCATGGTGGGAAATTAGCAGTTCCTTAGAAAACTACTCTGGGCTCTCATGTGACTCCACAATACTGCGCTGGACTTTAATCCTAGAGCCGAAAAAACCAAAAACCTGAACATGATTATCTGTCACAGTTACATAGTCTGGTGTCAATTTGAGACTTAAAAGTGAAGGGGTAGAGTTCAGACTGTCAATCAGGTTGCAGCTTGATGACCTCATTTGGAGGCACTAAGGAGATAAATAGCTCGCTGGAGGCGGGACACACGCTCACTCCCCGCGAGACATTCCTGTGGACAAGATACATGGAGTTAGGCTAGAGCCCTGGAGCTGGAGGAGCCATGTGGAGACCCCTGCCAGCGCTGAGATGCTTGCAACACCACAGGATCCACAAGACTTCCCATCCACTGGTCTGTAATCTCCCTGCATTCAGTGTCATTGCAGGTGTTTCCTGAGTCTGCAGAGGACTTTAGATTGCTATTGGACATATGGGCTAATATCAGACTTGATCTGGACTGGACTGGGGATGTTTTCTCAGTGTACAATTACTCTTTACATAAAGCTCTCTCTTATACACACGAGTGTCCATGAAGCTTTCTCTAGTCCACCCAGACTAATACAGTATCTATCACCATTTAATTTGGGAGTAGTCAAAAACTGGAAAGAACCAGCCACAATTCAAATGGTGTGGTGTGTCCACACGATAAGCTAAGCAGAAAAGGGATCTGAGTATTGATCACTACGACATACTAGAATCACTAGGTTGCACGACAGGGAGTGGAGACACTCTTCAAGAGGGCTTTTCTGACCTGAAAAGAATACAATACTGCAGTCTTCACAAGGGGTTGAGGAGAAAGTAGGGCAGGAGGTTGTGGGTGGGGCCATGAAAAACAGACACCAGAGAGCCTCTAGGGATCTTCCTGTGCCAACGTCCAGATCCCCGGGACCCACTCCCACCGGGCAGTTCTCAATGTGACCAGTAGGGGGAAGCTGGGTGGAGGGCACTAAGGGGTCTCTACGATTTCTCAGAACTACAGACAAAACTACAGTCATACTTAGAAAGAGAAAACTTAATCCCAAAAGAAAAGGTACTAAATCCAGAACAAGGATCCCTGACCTTGACTGCTAACCTACCACTGGAGTAATAATCCTTTATTAAGAAGCACAAGAACATGCTCGAGACCTGTGAACCAGGTACAGACACGCTGATCTCTCTCTCTCTCTCTCTCTG